CGTCGTTGTTCTCGCTTTGATTTATTTGCCAGCGTGTACAACGCTGCGTATGCGTAATTTTTTTCATTCCTTTGCTGGCTTCATTTTGATTTGACTACCCGAGCGGGAACTTGCCGCCTCATATCAATGACAGCGAGCGACTCGACTTTGCATTTAAAAGTAAATTATGCCACACATTCCGATTCGCATTCGCATTCGCATTCACATTTCTTCATCACTTTGCGAGTGCCCTTTGTTTATTTTCGGCTGAAGGTTATTTTATTTTTTATTTGTGCAGGGAGCACCCCATCAAAAGCACACACACACACACACACGGACAGACAGAGCGAGAGAGCGGCAGCACAAACACGGAATCTATTTGCATAATTTTAGGGGCAACTGTTTGGATTTGGGATAACAAAACTAAACCAACAACAAGCTCGGATAATCAGCCATAAAGCTGCTACAAATTTAAATACACTTATATAAGTAATTTTATGTTTGCACGTGCACTGCGCAAAAGTCAATCGCTTCTTTATTTTTATGCCAAAGAAAGCAATATTCATAGAGCCCAAAAAAAAACAAAAACAAAACAGCAGCAAAGTAGGCCAGTAGTTGGAAATGATTGTGCATATTTCATGGCGCCCGGGCAGGGCTATGCACGTGTCCCACTTGAACAACGTTGGCTAACAGCAAAAGTGGTTGAATTTAACTTTTGTTTTTAATGAATTGCGGCCTGTGCGTTAAGTAAACATGTCTATATACACCCAAATATGAATTATGCAGGGACTTGAACTATGCCAGCTTAGATTATGAAACAAACAGCTCAAAGAGAGAGAGAGAGAGAGAGATTAGTTGAAATTAGTCGAATGCTGTAACTAATGCCTAAGTATACACATGTGCGTGAATATGGAATTCAATGCAATGTAAGTGTGTGGCACCCGAGCAGGGACTTAAACTATTTTAGCATAGATTTTGAAACAACTATTAAATAGAAACAGATTTCTCAAAGATTTCTGTAACTAACATTCAATATATTCAATATAATATAAGAGAGTGGCGCCCGAGCAGGGACATTCAAAGATGTTCAACAGCGCCCAAGCAGGGACTTTAACTATTTCATCTTAGATTTTGAAACAAAGAGCAGCATTTTGAAAAGATTACTTAAAAGCTGTATTTAATGTCTATATAAACATAGGATTTCATTCATTCAATATATGATTCAACATTAGAAAGCGGCGTCCGATCAGGGACATTCAGAAATCTTCGTTGGCGCCCGAGCAGGGACATTCAAAGATGTTCAACAGCGCCCGAGCAGGGACTTGAACTATTTCATCTTAGATTTTGAAGGGGAGAGATTAGATGGAGAAAGATTCCTAAATATGCACAAGAGTTCACTCATTCAATATTCGCGAGAGCAAGTACATTCGAAAATCTTCGTTGTCGTCGTCATTTGCCCAAATCGAATTAGGCTCAACTGCAAAAAACAGGATAAGTAGAAATGGATTAAGCCCAAATGAATTGAGAGACATACTCTTCTGGTGCAATGTGTGTATGTGTGTGTATGTCATGCAGATATTAAGTATGCGATTGGCGCCCGAGCAGGGACTTTAATGACATCAGCTCGAAATCGGCGGCTGCGATTAACAGTGGTTGAGTCTTAACGCAATCTATAAAGTAAAATTTAATTGAATGTGCAAGAAATGTTAACAATAACTGAATATTGCAAATAACTGTAAGAGTGGAAGAGTGAAAAAGTGAAGAACTTGAAAGTGGCGCAATTTGATGCGAATCCCGAGCAGCCATTCACAGTTGAGTTTAGCCAGGGAAAAGTGGAAAAGTGGGAAAGCGGGAAAGTGTAAGAGTTGACGCGTGACTATCTAGTCGACGGCATCTGCCAAGCTTAAATAACCCACTTCAAAATTGTTGTTGGCACTTTAAAGATCTAGACATTGAAATCTGACATTTTGATTTGCGGCACTAATCGCATTATTTCGCACCACTGTGCAGATGTAATGTATGAGAGTGTGTGTGTGTGTGTGTGTGTATTTTGGCCGCTGCCCTTCAGCTTCTTCTTCTGCTTAGCCTCACACTTGCTCCTTAAGCACTCTACGCCACGCACTTTTCTTTTCACAAGTTGCTTTTGTGCGCTGTTTGTGTTTAATTATGGATGTCTGTGTGCGCGCGTGTGTGTGTGCGCGCGTGTGTGTTGTGTGTTTACATATGTGCGTGGTGTTATTATACAAGGCGCTTACATTGCCATTCTCGTTATTGTTGCTCTGCTCTCCCTTATATTCTTCTTTTCGTTCCTACTTCTTCTGCTTCCTCCTCTCGCTCTTGTTTATACGATGGGTCGTTTGCTTTTGGCCAAAATACTTGAGTTCGTCTGGCCTTCTGGCTTGCTGAACATTTAAAATTCATATTAAAACTCACACACATACACGCGTATGGCTTGCCGGAATTATGTACATATAGAAAATTTAGGCAACGCTTCGTTTGTCTTGGTGCTGACTTCCGTTTCCGGTTTGTAAACAAATGGCGCCAGCAGACGATTAATTATTGTTGATTTCTGTGCCAGTGTCTATGTTTCTGGCAGGACACGTGCCACAGTCCACGTCAAATGCCTAACACGTATAGCCACACCAAGCCCCGCTCTGCACTGCCCTCCCTCCAGCCACACCCCTGTATCCACTCTTCGTTGTTTGCAGCACAAACAAACATTAGAACTGATAAATCGTTTGTTAAACATTTGAACTATTTTGGGCGTGCTTTAATTGCTTTAGTTGCTTAATAATGTCACATTTTAAGCGTATTTTACGTGTTTATCGATTTATCGATAACACCACAATGGCATGCAAATTGAACTTGACTTGTGTGCAATTGACCTGTCAAAAGCTGTGCCGAATTTCTTGTCGATTCATTTGTCGATAGCTATTTTTAGTGGGAATATAATAATTATTCTCGATATGTGGGATATCTTTAATAATATCGGTGGACTTAGATAAAAAACCCGACTAATTTATCTATATTTCATTAACTGAAGTTAATCCCATTTTCTCGCTTCTCCAAATAATCTTCTTAAGTTATCGATAAAACGATAGAATTAAAATTCCGCAAATTCTCTAGCCTTAAAAAACAAAGTTTATTCTCTAAATACTAGTGGGTTTTAGAAAGTTTTGCATATTTTATCGATATACTCATATTAATATGTGGAAGGCAATAAAATCAGCAAAGTCAATTTATATACTTATTGAAAATTGTAATCGCTTTCGATTGCCCATTTTATGTCTGTCGAACCGAGAGATCAACAAGAGACCACACTATTTGCTTTGTATACTTATCGATAACAGAGACCTCAAAATACATATCCTTTTATCGATTAATCGATGAATTTATGTATCCAATCTATTCTTCAAGCGAAGGGCCATATTTGTCCCTTCAATGATTTAAATGTTTGCTATATGAATTCGATTTGTTTCATCGAAACTTAGTACAAATCTAAGCAATATATTTTCTTACATCGACATTCGATTAATTTATTAAACAAGGGCATCTTACTATTTTATTTATTCATACTAACTATCGTAAAGGCACATTTGTGTCTAATATTAGTGCCTTCGTAGAGATGAAAATCGTTCTCTTAGCCAAATTCGATTAATTAATCTATCTGTATCTTAACTATTCAATAAATTCATCTATTGCATGGGCATATTTGCTCTTGCCGTAATTAATATTTGTGCTTTCGTATTATGATATTAGCTGTTTGCATTCATCAAATGCCTTATAGTACTAATCGATAACATTTAATTATCGTTATCGTGTGGTAATTAGCTTGCTGGCAATGCATACAAATTAGTTAATTTCCATTCATATTTGTGTTCCAGTTACGTTATTGTGATTATTTCTGCAACAATTACATTTCCATTCACATAAATCCTCATTTTAATTGTATATCGATAAATTTTTAATCACAATTGCGGACAAGCGTATTAGTAACATGAATGTTATTGGGAGCTGCCTAATTCTATGGGCACACTGGCCCCCGCCCCCGCCCCGGGGCCACGCCCCTTTGCCATTTCACACTGTTGTTGCCTTTGTTATTTGTTTGGCTTTGTTGTTGTGTGAACTATGCAAAAGCTGTCCTATTTTGTTGGCCTATCAATAAACCAATTTTCGCACAATTGCAGTTCACAGGCATGTGTGTGCGTGTGTGTGTGTGTGTGCGTCTGTGTGTATCAAAAACCACAACGTGGCACATTTTGGCAAGTAAATGTGTTATACTTAGGTGGGTCACACACACACACACAAGCACGCACACACACACAAGCACGCACACACACACATACGCACACACGTGAGGACCGTAATTAATGATTGAACACACACACGCACTCGTTCACACACACACACTCACACAGAGAAACAGGCGTAACGAGCTCTCGCCCAGCAAAGTATGCTACAATTTTCGTTGTGGGCAACAAATATGCTGCTCATTATTTTTAGAGCCGCACACACACACACACACACGTACACCACACGCACACCACACGCATATAAATTATGTTTGGGCTTCATTATGCGGGCTGCTTTTATGGCGGCAGCCAAGAGTGTGAGGGCGTGCCCGCTGCCGGGCGGTGGACTATGGGTTGAGGCATTTTGGGACGCGCTTCAAGGCGCCGCATTAAAAATCAATTCACAAACTTTGCACGTAGCTTTAAGTGAAGTATATGTGTGTGTGCGTGTGCGTGTGTGTGTGTATTAAGTGGGCTGTGTATTGTGCGGGCAGCAGCAACAGCTTTCGAAGCGGCTTTGATGAAGCTGCTGCTGTTGCCAACTTTTTCCCCTGTGCAGCTGCCAATTGCCAATCTCTACTAATCTCATGCGCTGCCTTTCTCTCTCTTTGCAGACGGCAGCTGGTCAAAATGGAATGACCAGAGCTGCTTTTGGTGACCCACACACGTCGTCATCGTAGCCAACGGAAGATGCTGCAGCAGGCAGCAGCACCACCAACAGCAGCAACAGCAACAGCAGCAGCAGCAGCGACCGGCGCCAGCAATGGCCAGCGACGTCGCGTGGCAGCTAGCGACAGCTGCAGCAATTACAACAATAAAATCAACAATACCGGCAGCAACAAATTGAAGGCACAGCAAATGCATTCCAACGAGGAGCCGCCCATGTCGGTGATCGTGGACAGCGGCAACCAGCAACAGCAGCAACAGCAGCAGCAGAAGCTGCGTCGCAGCGCCAGCGCCAGCGGCAGCAGCGGCCAGCAGCGGCTGCGCAAGACTAGCTCGTGCAGTGCAAGTGCCAAGACCACGCCCACGCCGCACTCGCGACGCCCACATCGACAGCACTCGAATGCCTCCGATTCAATGCACAAACAGCAACAACAACAACAATCACAACAACAGCAACAATCACAGCAGCAACAGCAACAGCAGCAGCGTCGCTACCAGCAATCGAGTCGCGCTGGCAGCAAGGAGCGCGGCTCGGAGACGGCGCGAAGGCGTGGCACGCGTCGTCACAGTGGCGCCTCCATGCAGAGCGAGGCGGCGACGGCGACGGGAACGGAAAGGGCCACGGAAAGGGGACAGCGCAGCGGACAGCGAGCGCGTGGCACCAGCTCGGCGGCCAGCTCCTCGACCGCATCCAGTTGCAATGGCAGCTGCAGCTCCGACGATGGCGACTCGACGCATTCATCCTCCTCGTCATCCAGCTCGTCGGGCGAGCCGAATCTGCCCTATCCGGGCTTCCCGGAGATTGCCATGAAGGCCCTGACGCAGTACACGCGGCCGCGCAACTGGTGCCTGATGCTCATCACCAATCCATATCCTTTTTTTATTGCAAGCAAAACAAAACCCAAAACCCACAAATGGTTGGGTTTGGCTGCGGCTGGGGCTGAGGGCCGAGGGCTGAGAGCAAGGGGTACGCCAGCGGGTGGTCTGTCCTTCGGCAAATCCTTGGGGAGGGGGGTGGCGCGTCCTTGTCATATATTCGCGCTGCATTTCGCTGTTGCTGCCTATTGATTTTTACCGTCTGCTCGTGTCCTTCCTAGCGCATCCTGTCCCGCCTAAATGTTAACAGACACTTATATTTGCGGGTCCAGCAAGATAAGGACTTAAAATGGACTATCCAACTCCAAAGTAGCTATGAATATTTCAGTCCGAGATCAAGAATAATCATTAATAATTACATGATTAGATTCATATTTATAATACCCGCTGTCGAGTATAGAAAATAGTCGCATGCCTCCGTTGTTTAATTTGCGTAATTATTAAAAAAAACATTCTTAGCGTCCATTTGCATCACAAAAGGTATGTACATTTATGAAATTTCTTTTTCCTTGCTCCAACCATTTGGGCTGTGCATCAAAGATCAGTCAGTCAATCAGACGATCAGTCGATGAGTCAGTTAGCCTATCACTCATCTACACATGTAGTCACTCAATCTGTCAGACAATAAGTCAGTCAGTCAATCAGTCAGCCAATCAGACAATCAGTTAGTTTGTCAGTCAATCAGTCAGTTAGTCAGTCAGGTATTCAGTCAGCCAATCAATCAGTCAGGCAGGTAATGAGTTAGTCAGTCAGATTGTCCATCTGACATTCAGTCAATCAATTAGTTTGTCAGTCAGTCAGTCAGGCAGTAAGTTGGCAAATCTGGCAACCAGTCAGTCAGTCGATCGATCCGCGGCACAGTAAATCAGTTAGCCAGTCTATCAATCAGTTTGTCAATAAGTCAGTTAATCAGTCATTCGATCAATCAATAAGTCAGTCAATCAGCCTATCACTCATCCACACATTAAGTCATTCAATATCTCAGACAATGAGTCAATCAGTCAATCAGTCAGTCAGTCAATCAGTCGATCAATCCAAGTCAGCTTTTTAGCATATCTGAATTGTTGTTTTCTTTTTTTTACTTTAACTAAAAGCTAACTGTGCAAGTAAAGTTCTTAGCGTGGATTGAAACTTATGTAGAAGGAAATTAAAAGAACTTAAAATATCTTAATATACATTTTTTCTAGATAAATACTTTCCTTTAAATTTCATTCCAGTTTATTACAGAGCAATCTCTTAAAGACAACTGCAAATAAGTGTATAATATTCCTTCAAAGTGCCAAAACCTTTCTGATAGCTAAAATGCCCCTACTCGCTTACAGCAAGCGTAGGGTATACGCAGGTTTTGGGCCTTGAAAAATTTGCTGCTGTTTTACGTTTTATTTATTTATTTTTCTTTGCCTGCCTGTTGCAAAATTTATGCTGATGTCTGTAAGTGTGTGTGTGAGTGTGTGTGTGAGTGTGTGTGTGTGTGTTTGTGTATGTGTGTGTGTGTGTGTGTGAGTGTGTGTGTTCGCTGTGTGTGTCGCATAAATAACAAGTATCGGCGTGCGGCGGCTCATCAGCGGAAGACGCTGCCAGGGTTGCCAGAGCTGGCAGAGTTGCCAATCGCCATTTGCAGTTGCCGCTTCCGACGACGCGTCGTGTACTTTTTGCGCCTCGTCATTTGCAGTTGTTTCGTATCTTCGCGTGTTGTTTGTTGTTGTTGTCGCTGTCGCCTGGGGAGATAATGTGCGCCAATCAGCGAGGCAGCGCCCCGCCCCGGAGGCGGCCGCAGTGCCTGGCACGCCTCTGGTATGTGCATGAAAAATCGCTTTGCATACTTTCGGGCGCACTTCACATTTAATTTAACCTGAAATTAAAATTGACTGACGTTGATATTTAAGACGGAACATATTTCATACATTAAAAGCGTCTCACAGCCAGTCAGAGACACGCTCTTATTGAGTGGTTAGTTATGCAGGCAGCTGTCCCCGAGGAACACAGAAACAGAAACAGAAACAGACGAGCAGCCGGCGCCGAGTTGATTGTAAATTAAGGGAGTATAAATTACTTTGGGTTACCCAAGGTTAAATATTCCAGCAGCCATTTGAGAGAAGTGCGTTCATTCTCTGGAGTTAAGCAGAACAAGCTTTTTATTTTCATACGAAAACGTAATCTACAGGTGGATCTATAAGATACGGAGCTTATAAGTTTGTCAGAGAATGTTTCTATGCCAGGAGATGAGAGGTGGCTTTTTAATGCATACGCAGGTTAGGTCTTGGTTTAGCTGGCTTTGTTTTCTGCCCGTTGCTTATAATTCTCAATGGGTTATAGCTTCGAACTGTAGACATGCGCTTGCTGATAGAAGCGACCGGTGCGTGACATAAAATATTTATATCCCATTTTGTTAATCTACTTAAAAACATACTACTTTGGGCTACTTGGCTGCTGACTTAGGTCTCGTTGAAAAATATGCAAAGAGCTGCAAATTTATTCAGCTCAAATTCGGCAACTCCTTTTCCAACTATTAAAGTGGCATTAAGAAGAAGCAGCAGACAAACTTTTTATACCCTGCACCCATTAAAAATTCAAAATAGAGTATATTGGCCTAGTACAAATGTATGTAACAGGCAAAAGGAAGCACCTCCGAGCCCATAAAGTATATACATTCTTGATAAGCATCAATAGTCGAGTCGATCTGGCCATGTCCGTCCGTCTGTCTGTCTATCCGTCTGTCCGTCTGTCTGTCTGTCTGTCTGTCTTTCTGTCCGTCTGTCCTGTCTCTGTTTGTCGAGCATATCCCCTATGTTTCCAAAACTAGCCTTATATATAACACAAGTATTTTGTACGAAGGCATATAGGTATTAAATATGTTTGTGTGAGTGTGTGCGTGTGTGTATGTATGTGTGTGCGTGTGTGGGCTTGTGTGTTAGTGTATGCATGTGTGTGTGTATGCATTTTTGAATATATGTATGCATGCATGTTGGTTTTTTAATACCAAACGCAGACCAAGCCTATTCGTCGCTGTGTTGCAAATTTAATTAAAACGTATTTCTACCAAGTGCTGTCCTCCTCGATTCTCAAGAATTCAAGTAGGCTCTGCAGTTTTTCATGCATATTTAGTAGTGTAGTCTTTTTTTTAAGTAGTTTTTTTTTGTTGTTTTTGTTTTTTTTTTGGTATGTATGTATGTATGTATGTTTTTTTTTGGTATGTATGTATGTATGTATGTATGTATGTATGTATGTATGTATGTATGTATGTATGTATGTATGTATGTATGCATGTATGTATGTATGTATGTATGTATGTATGTATGTATGTATGTATGTATGTATGTATGTATGTATGTATGTATGTATGTATGTATGTATGTATGTATGTATGTATGTATGTATGTATGTATGTATGTATGTATGTATGCATGTATGCATGCATGCAGGCCGATCGGCTGGTAAACAAAAATCGCGTCCTAACGTGAACCTTCATCACACAAGGTAACTTCTGTGCATTTTTCAGCTTCCTAGCTCTTATGGTTAGGGCTATGCTTTGATCACCAATCAGTCAGTCGGTCCAAGCAGTTTTATATAAGGAGAAATATTACCCACGCAAGAGTTAAAAAGATTGTAAATTGCATCAGTTGTTGGTAGAAGAAGATTCGGGGCATCCCATTATCTGGCACTCCTAGCTAAAGCACTCTACCTGGCTTATTTCGCAGAATCGCATTTCAACTTTACCGCGCTTAAACCCTTTGGGAATTCTAAATGAAATTTGCTTTTGTTTTGTTGTTGCCTCACAATCGGAATCTGCGACTTGCCACAAATACACTTTGCTTGCAACTATTTATTGCATTTGCCCATTTCCCCATTTGCCCATTTTGTCCATTTTGTCCAAGTCTGTTTCCGCCGCATCTTTGTGGCGTCTCTATTGCCATTTCCTGTCTATGTTCCGTTTCTGATTCCGAGTACAACCGAGTCGCCCAGCGCCAATTACCAGCTGCCAGCTGCCGGCTGCCAGCTGCATTGCTCAGTCAGCTACAATAACAAGATAATCGCACCCTTGGCTGCCCCTCGGCTAGCTCCTCGGCACCCGGCTCCCGGCTCCCGCCCTTCTGCCACTTAATTGTTGGCTATAAATTTTGATTTTGTCATTGTTCAGCTTCCCACTGAGTCCAGTCCAGTCTACCCTATTGACTCTTCCCACTGCATTGGCCATGTCTTGAGTATTTCATGAGTTTTTGCTGCTCGCTCCCCTTACTAAAGTTTACAATGCCACCCTCTCTCTCTTCCTCTCTCTCTCTCTTATCAAGCAATTATTGTTTATCGTGTGCAACGATTTGTTGCAATTGCGTCCATTTCAGGCAACTTGGCAGCTTGGCGTCTCGACGCAATTCAATTGGCATTGGCCATAATCAATTTCATGGCAATAACCAAACCTTGCCCTTTTCCTTTCTAGATCACCCGCCCCGGCCATTTGCTATCCCCTTTGAAAATTGCTTTTGCTAAACTAATTTCAGTTAAAAAGTTTGCTGCTTCTCTCGTCTACGTGGCGCTAGTCAATGCCACATTTTGTGGCACTTGCAACTTGCAACTGGAGAGGTCAACTGAGCAATTTGCCAAAAAAGAAAAAGAAAACGATGTGGCAACGCCGCGATGTCGCCGCCTTGACTGTGGTGTCTTATGTGCCCCCTCCTCTCCCTCTCTCCACCTCTCTCTCTCTCTTTCTCTGCATGAAAGTGCATGCAACATGCTGCATCGTGCCACACAAAACTTAAGAATGTTGTCATCTATTTTACGGCGCTTTTAGCGTGCCGAATGCCACCTGCAAGGACAACGACGATGCACAGCCACGCCTCTTTCATGCATCCCCACCCATTTAAGAGCTTCAAGGCGCGGCACACATCATTAGCATGCGGGAAAGTAATGCGATATGCACGCCCACAACTAATTACGGCTCCTGCTCTGCACACTTAACAGCAATGATTCGCGGCGGCCCCATTAGCCGGCCAAACCCGGCGAACCACCCACAAAAACAAACTTCCATTGCCCGCCTGTCCGCTGTGACCTCTGATTGACACGTGCTTAAGATTCATGACATGCCACTGGCAACGGCTCCGACGCCAGCTCAGATTCCCAGCTGCCGCTCTGGAGCTGGGGCAACAGGTTGTCGGGTGGCTGCGGTGGTTCAGCGGTGCACGTTTTGGCTTGCCAAGCATTTCCGCAGCACAACAATGCAAATTGCCTGTAATCGAGACTAGAAAATTACCATCAATTAAGGCACAAGGCACTTGCCTAACTGAAATCGATGCCAAAGCCAATTCGCATTTATCGATAACTCTTTATCTAAAATCATTTTAAAGAGAACTTTCAGAGTAAAGCCATTTAGCTTTTACTTAGTCTCGTTGTCTGCTTCCAATAAATCAAGTATTTGGTATTCTCCTGAGAGCAGAGGGTTTATGTTATTGTTATAATTTCGGCACTTCACACATGCACCCAATTATCACCTGAAAAGTACCTCACAAATTGTGAGTACACTCGTTGCCTTCAATGAAGACCAAACATGACTTTGTTCAGACTCTGATTTCAAGTGGCTTTTGGACTCGTTGAGCTGAACGCAACTCAAAACCCAATTCAATTGCCAACTTTTTGGCTGCTTTTGCCAGTTGCCAATTATCTCAAGTTTTGCTTTCATCCCGAGTCCGTCTTACAGTTCGCTCACTGACTTTGTTCTTTACTGTTTTACCTTTTTTTATGCCCTACACCCACTGGAAATGTACAAAGAGAGTTTAATGGCTTTCAGCACATGTTTGTAACAAGCAGAAAAATAGTGTTTACAAATGTACTTGGTCAGGGCGACAAGCTGAATCGATTTAACGATAGATGACTTGTTATTTGATATACAAATGCTCATTTATTTTATGCGGACTGAGCTTGTCGGCATTTCTTGATATCTGCTATCGATAAATCGATACTCGTTTAATATCGATTTTGAGACAGGTTTTCTTTAATCAGAGCTCGACGATCATAAGTGCTTCGTTTCGTCACTTTGCCTTGTTACACTTCTTTGTATGATTCGCTTCTCCCTGTCTTTACCAAATCTTCGCTTCTCCCTTGAATTTATTCCTGCGTTATATTTGTTTTCCGTGCTTGTTCTTCTTATGCTTCCACCTTTCTCTTAGTATTTTGTTCTCACTCTTATCCTAACTTCAAACTTCTTTTCTTATTTCATTTCTCTCTGGCTTCCACTTGAGCTCACAGCCTAATTCCCCGGCTACTTATCTTGACATGCTTCTTCCTGCTTCTCACACAATATCGATAATTATCGATTTTGCGACTGTGTTTTTTAGGCATAACTCGAAGATCATAAGAGCTACATTCCTCCAACTTTATGTATATTTAGAAGATTTCTTTTTTATGATAACCCCTTCCCCAATTTTTCCTAGAGAAAAGAAAAATGATCCAATTTTAGTGATAGATGTAGGATAAGCACAACCACAAGCTAGTCGTTTGTTTCTAGCAGGGTAACTGCCAGTCGTTCACTGCCGTTCACTTGCTGGCATTCGATTTGTTTTTCGTTTCGGGTATTCACAAATTATTCGTGCCCACTCATCTGCAGCAGCTTCACGGCCGCCTTTTTGTTTGTGAGTCTTTTAATTTGTTGCGATTTTTGCACGCTCGCATGGGTAGCATACACACACACACACAGGCACACACACACACACAGACACTCGTATTCAGTTTTGTTTGTTGGCCGCGCCACGCCCCCATTTGCCGGCTGTGTTGGCCGACTTTACGCTCGACTTAATTTGTTTACTGTTGGTTTGGTGGCCTTTGCCGCCGTCGCTGCGCGCCAAATCAAAAATAATGGCAGCCGAACCACGCCCCATCCACCGCCCAGCCCACCCCTCCCCCTCATTTCCGCTCACCCGAGCAGGCTGTGCTGTGCCCCGTATGCACAGAGAGAGCATCGCAGTGTCGCATATTTGAGCAGCTGCAATATTTATACAGGCTCGCATGCACGGCCTGGTACACGCCCCCCCAAACTGCCGCCCAGCGCTGACCTTTTGTGTGTGTGTGTGTGTGTGTGAGTGTGTGTGCCGTCTGCGCTTTTCACATTTGTTTTTATGACACCGGCGAGCTGACCTGCATATGCTGTCGATTTAACCAGCCTGCCCCACTGACCGCGGCGGCTCCTAATGAATTGCAAGGACCCGAACGATTGTCCTTTTTGTCTTTTTGTCTTTTTCCATTTTTATTTATTATTTGTTGGTGGCATTGTTGTGCCCGTTTTTATCTTTAATTGTACGTTAATAGCGTAAACATTTTGTGCATTGTGTTTCCTGCGTACGCCTCGTAATTGTGCCCGGCCATAAAAAATGGGCTCTCAGTGCGCATTACGCTCTGGCTACCCAAGCCAACCATGGTTGCCCCTGGCCTTGGCTTTGTATTGAATATGGCGCGCGCACTGATTGCAGTTGTAAAACAAATATTTGGCCAACTTGCGGGCTATTCATAGCGTAAATGCAGCAGCGAGAAGCGATTGGAGAAGTGAAGTGGAGCAGCGACGAGGCGCAGCTTGCGTCCTTTTCATATTCATGCTGTTTACTTGCCGCCACTCGACCTAAAGTTCGATTTCACAAAAGCACACATGACGTTCTTTTGCTATGCTTCTCCATTCGCTTCTCACTTCGTTGCTTACTTTTATTTTATTTTAAATTCCAATTCCACTTGCCTTACATATTTCTTTCTGATTTTCGGCTCCTTTCTCGCTAGCTTCTAATTCAATTGATTCTTGCTTAGATTCGTTTCTATACTTTCTCTTATGGGACTTTTTGTATGCTTCTCTCGCTTCGCTTCTTCTGTTCGTCCACATATCTTCGCTTCCCTTTTAACCTTATTCTCGCATTTCGACATTTGACCTTAACACATGAAGCAGTTTACTGTGCTTCTCCTTTCATTTTCCACCTTGCTTCTGTTGGCTCAATCGATGCTCGCTTCGCTTCTTCCGTTCTTCCTCAAATCTTCGCTTCTTTCGCAACTTTACTCTCACATTTCTTTTTTATTACCTAGGCTACTACTAAAGCTACGTTTCTGAATTTTTCCTTCGTATACTTCTTTCTCAGCTTGACTTCTTCCTATCTTCACCATATCTTCGCTTCCTTCTTAGCTTTACCTATGGCTTATGTTTGTTTGTCCGTTCTGCTTCTCTTCCCGCTTCTCCCTCCTTTCACTCAACCTCCTCTTATAAATTCACTTCTCTCTGGCTTCCTTTTGAGCTTTCCACGTAATTCTTATGACTATTTGATTTGCTCTGATTCTTCCTTCGCTCTCAGTCACACAAAGTTATGCATCGCTTCTTGCTTGGGTGACGCTTTCAACTTTCATCTGAGAGCAGAACCATCCATCAGGCAATTTCCAATGTTTTCATGGACTTAAGCTTGGTTATATTAACAGTCATTTGGTTGAGAATGAACAGCAAAAGCAAGAGCCCGTGATCCTGATGGAGTGAGCAGCTTTCAGCTTGCGCACAATCTCAGACCGAGTGCCCAAATGCACTGACTGGCTAATATGCCGGCTAAAAGGCTTACAAAGTTCTTGCTTGAACAGCAACTGCAACATTGCATTATGCTTCCACTGGCTGACTGAACGACTGAGCGACTGAATGACTGAGCGACTGTCATCAATTTGTGCTATTTCTTTGCCATTTTGCTTAGAGTAAAACCACAGCCAGCCAACAGCAACTCGAAGGAGGCGTGGTTCCAGCAGAAGGCGGGAGGCAGAAGCAGCGGCAGCGGCAGCTCGTCGAGTACGAAATGCAGCCAAGTTGACAAGCACTTGAGTGCGCATTAGAGGCGATGGTAAACAGCTATCTGCCATCTACTATCCGGTCTGTGTCTGTGTCGGTGTCTGTGCCTTGCCTTGCCTCAGTTATTGCAGCGTGCGGGCGCCCGAGCTGGGACGCAACTGTGGGCCTGTTCCTGATCGGGCGCTCGACATGTTTTGCTTAAATCAGCACACAAAAGCAGTCAACAGACAGGCAATCGCTTTGCAAACTCATTTCGATACCCTCTAACCATTAAAGAAAAAAAGCGCCCAGCAGGGAATAATCGTACACGACCTCATACGATTGCCAAGTCGAGCTGAGTCAATTTGGTCTCATTAGCTATAAGCGGATCAGGCTCTTTTTTATTGCACATGCAATTATTTCAACCATTTTGTCAAATCAACGATAATTATCGAATTTTTGTATATGGCTTTTGAGCAAATCTCTGAGATTTGAAGAGCTGAAGCTGTAGCTTGAGTTTATTTCCAATTATAAAGTATGCCCTGTTGCTCCAAAATCGATAATTATTGTTAACAATTTCGATTTACCCTTCCTGAAACATATGTTAGTGTTAAAAATAAAACAATAATTTAAGTAGTTTTTAAAAGTGCATTTATTCAAATTTCTTTCTATCAACTATGATTGATATGCAAGTTTTTTCGTAGCATATAGAGCTTGGAATAATCTTTTGTTTTTCGATAGCTCCGATAAATCGATAAAAAAAAATAGTTTTTCTCATATATGCATGTGGAATAAAGGTGAATTTAGCGTAAAGGGTATGACAAAAAATAATATATAATTGCTTAAGTATGGCAGCACAGCCGCAGTCTTATTTCATGATTACGGGGTATATGGCAGTCGAGCACTCTCGACTTGAATTTTTTTGTACAGCATTTATCATCTTTGGTTGGTTGCCTTAACTATATAAATGTTCCTGCGACCCGATTCGGATTGGACACGTGGTTCGAGCGCATCTCGATTCTGGTCATTTTGCTGAACTGCATAACGTTGGGCATGTATCAGCCCTGTGTGGACGATACCTGTCTGAAGCCGCGCTGCAAGATACTGCAGGTGAGTAAATATAGCATATAGCATGTCTATCTGTACCTGTCTACCTGCCAGCACCCTCCAGTCGCCGGCCCTGTAGCTGTCACATTAACTGTCATTTATTTAAGCAATTTTTTGGCTCACTTCCTGTCTGCCTGGCTGATGACATCAAACAGGCACTTCGGCTCATTAGGCAGCCAACGCACACTGTGCGGGGCGAGTCGTTGGGTTTTTGGGGCAATTACAGAGCTACAGCGTATAGAAAATGTTGTGGTTGGGGTAGCATGATGGGCGCTGTGCGCTTTAGGGGTGCGGGGAGCGGGTGTTCAACGTGCGAAAATGTTTGTAAATGATATGGAAGGCAGACATTTTGGCCGCAGCCAAGTGTAAAGCATGCGAAGGGCGCCAAATTGGCAACAGGAACGGCACGGGGCCAAAATGACAATGAGCATGAGCAACTGAGCCAAGAGGCTGAGCACGACGAGAACATAAGTGGCGCCCAAATTGCTGAGACTTGTTTGAGCAGCGCCAGAGACGAAGACGAACACGGCGACTGAGTCTGGGACAACTCCTGCAGAGCTGCGAGCTACATTCATGTGCGTCAGTCTATGCACGGGTGTCTTTGACACTGTTTGCTCGGGTGCTGGAGGGACTTGTGGGTCACTTCATGCATGATGTAGCAACACGTTGTGCCGTAACTAAAGTGGACAACAGCTCATTTTGACAAGTGTCAACCACATTTTTCTTCAAGCACTAAATGAGTTTCAGTTCCCAAGCGTAGAGAGCGTTGATAGAAATTAGTTTTTGTGCAATATTTAATCTGTCAGCCGAAATCTTGCTACATTACTTGCCAAAAAGCATCTGAGCTAAGTGATAAAATAATAAAATATATCTAAGTACTATACACACCTATTCAAATTCATTTGGCTTGAATGATTCAAAATTATTCAAAGGTGTATAGAGTTTATGATACAAAGCTAACGAGGCATTTCCTACGACATAAAGTAGATATATATTCGTGAGTTGATCTAGCCATGCCAGTTTTTTTTTGTCTGTCCAAAGGAAACTCTTGATAGGGCAAATTAAATGTAAATAATCTCAATTCCAATAAATCAAAAAATTATTAAAGCTACCCCAAATATGGAATATAGGTTGTCGTATAGTCTATTAAGACAAAAGAAGTTCCATAATTTGTTTTTTTTTTTTTAGCCTCGAAAATTACAGATTCTATATTTGCAAAATACTGTATATAGATTGTCCTATATTTTATATCTTCTTTCGATATATCTTTCCGATTCTTTGCAATAACTTTAAAATAATCAAAGATACATATACCAAATACGATATATCTTATATATATGATCAACAATAATTCGCTTTCTGGATAGATTAAAAAAGTACTCATTTAATAGAGCCTCGCGCTTTCGCATGTACGCAATGTTCTATGCCATATTTATGCCGTGAAAGTTTCGTAAAGTTGGGACGAGAAGACTTGGAACTTACCCAAGAACGTATTTCGGGTAAATATTGAGAGAAGATATTTGGGTATATACAAAGTGGCAGGAATTTCACAAAATATGGAAATGAATATTTATTATATTAGGCAAATCATCAACGGTTGACTCTATCGCACGCAGATCTTCGATGACATCATCTTTGCATTCTTCGCCCTGGAGATGACCATCAAAATGGTGGCCATGGGCATGTGTGGCAAGAACACGTATTTGGCGGACTCATGGAATCGACTGGACTTCTTCATTGTGCTGGCCGGACTGCTCGAGTATGTGATGCATGTGGAGAATCTGAATTTGACGGCGATACGCACGATCCGAGTGCTGCGGCCGCTGCGTGCCATCAATCGTATACCCAGTAAGTGTGCCACAGTCGCCGTCGCCGCGGGGTAGTCACGGCCAGCTGCAGCACTCATTGATGTATTTCCACTGCAGGTATGCGAATTCTGGTCATGCTGCTGCTGGACACCCTGCCCATGCTGGGCAATGTGCTGCTGCTCTGCTTCTTTGTGTTCTTCATCTTCGGCATCATCGGGGTGCAGCTCTGGGAGGGCATACTGAGGCAGCGCTGCACACTGGAACGACCCGACGGCATGATATATCCCATAACGTAAGTGGAACGAGCCGCGACTAATGGGGTTTATTTTCGGTTTTTATTTTCTTTGTATTATCCTTTTGGTTTACTCGATTCGGCGGGTATCTTTGGGGCAACGGACGTTCAACTGAGTTGACAGCGGGAATAAGTCACGTGTCTGTCTCTGTCTGCAGGCGCCTCTCATGCAATATATATATTTAAGATATACATATATACATATATTTATATAACTATATATGCCTATATATCGCTTAGATAAGACAATTTGAGTTTTTGGTTGTCTTTTGGCTTTGATACTGTTTGTTTTTGTAAAAATCATTTTTGGCTTTGATTTTTGATAGCTGCTTAGCTCATTTCAGGCTAGAGAGCTATCTCTCTCACTCGCTCTCTCTCTCTCTCCCTCTCTCCCTGTAACTCTCTCTCGCTCTTTGGGCTGCCTGGCTGCTAATTCATGTTTTTTGCTTTTTCTGTTGGCTTTGCTTTTGATTTTTGATAAATGCCAGCTCACACACACACGCACACACACACACACACACACACACACACACACACACATAGATAATAAGCGACTTTTTCTGTCCCTGTCTAACGTTCAGTATTTGCATATCAAATGCATTGGCCGCCCCTCAATTTGATGAACTGCCGTTCATCAAAAACTTGGTTGCCATCCTGATGAATGTTTGCGGCGTTGCCCATTTGGCTGCCAGCGACAGGCACAGTGTTGCAAAGCGGGCACGAAAAGTGTTAAGCATTGCCTGCTGGAAGGCCATTGACTGAAATATGTTCATTAAATACACTTAATATGTTAATTTATGCTTAATTGTCATTTAAATTTTAATTGACTCGCTCGGCACAAAGTGACCATGGAGGATTGTCAATTTAATTGGCCACATTTTCACGGCACTTCGCCACTTTAACTGTGTTTTAATCTTCGTTAAATGCCAAACACTGAACAGTCTAAAGTGACCAAGGATGACAGACATTGCCTACAGCTCTGATCCTTCATATTATCCAGAGTTGCTTTACGCTTAAAGCCAGTGTTGGTCTAGGCTTAAAGTCGCATTTAAACTTGGTTATTGCACATTGCATTTCACAAATTAATAGCCACTTAAAGTGACAATGGAGAATGCTCACAGGCTGTGTATTCTGTGAGTTGTGCCTTCCAAAGTGACTATGGAGGACGTTCACAGGCTGTGGTCTCTGTGAGCTGAGCTTCATAAACCAGAAGCCATGGAGCACGTTCAAAGACCGTGGTCTCTATGAGTTGTGCCTCCATAGTCACTTTTACAGTACTCCTGCATGAATGGCTGTGTAAAGTGTGAGTTGACACAGGCATGTCAACTCCATGGTCACTTAGTGGGCCTTCCCTTTTACATTTTTCAGCCGCCTCTTTGTGGCTTTGACAGCTGGCAAAGATTTTAAACTTGGCAAACAATCATTTATCACTGGCCATGGTCGCCCTCCCCCTCTCTCTCTCTCTATCACTCTCTTTCGCTGTGTGTGTGTCTGGCAATGACGTCAGCAGCAGCAGCAACAAAAACACACACTCAAATACACACACACGCACACACACACACACACACACACACACACTCACTCACACACTCACTCACACACACTATTCGCAGATGGACACCCCAAAAGTAGGCAACCTACATATTTGTTGTATTTTTTTGCAAAGCAGTTTTTTTGATGCAGTTTTTTGCGTTATCGTTAATCGATTGTTTTGCATGCACGAAACTGTACATATTATGAATATGGGCGCTTTTTTCTTGAATATGCTCGCATTGCCGGAAAATAGGCCACACTGGCAGGTGTTAATTTGATGCCATTTTTCGCTGGCTCGCATTATTGTTGTAAATAATTCGCCGGCAATGCAAATTTATTTTGATTGCATTTCCAATTGTCGCTGATCATAATTTTTGTATTTATTTTTAATCACATTTTTCCTTTTTTACATATAAATAGCTGTAAAGTTTTTATTTAAATGGGCAGCACTTTTCGTCAAAATGAAATATTAGCTATATTATTTTTATTGATTTTTGATGGCAATCGTGTTCGCTGACAAATGGGCTTGTGTACATATATGCCTTCCTTATATATATTCCGAATCTAAGGCTATTTGTTCATAATCGTGTATATATCATTTATGTTTAGCAAGAGTTCTGCCACAGAGCTCATATGTTTTTGTGCTTGGAACTGTTTCTACCTTTGCCAAGACAAGCAATTTCCGAATGAAATTATATCAACTGATTAAGAGAACAGAACAAACTAATGAATTTTGCTTGCTGAAGAAGCATACATACCCTAACTTTGCGTCTGTCTGTCTCGCAACCTTGTGCAGCTGCTTCTTCCTTCTACGCACAGCCAAGCCGAGCGGATCGTGTGGCTATATATATGTGTATATATAGCATTGAAATATCGCTCGAATATTGTTTTTTATCTTATGAAAATATGAATAACTCTTCTTTCTACATCTTTCTAGTCTTTACTTATCAAAAGCGTCCAAAAGTTGTTTTCAATATTTTGTAAATTTAAAGATTTTTTTATTTTCTAGACAAGATTTTTATTTTTATTTGCTAAACATAAACTCCACAGCTTTAAAGGAAAGAGTCTCGTCTTTTTTTTTCCTTTTCTGTTCATATATCTGCAAGGCTATTTAAGCTTCGGCTCGAAATTACATGTTGCTGTCCTCTGATTTATTTTGTATATATTTTGTATCCCATTTTTATTTGGTCGCGAGTTTTTCGAGTACAGTTTTGTGTTACATTGTATGGTTTTTTTTTGGCAGTACACAGCCAGACACAGACACACGCACACCCATTTTTGGCACACTCTCACACACACTCACACGCACTCACACACACACACACACATATGCGGACCCTTGTACAGTCACGTGCAAAAGCAAGTCGCGTTTCATTCGCCCGTTTAGCAACAATTTAAGAGCCAGTCACAAAGACCAGGTGCGAGTTCTTGTTTTTTATGAGCAGACAACAGACTTAATACAACAACAACAACAACAACTACAGCAACAATAACTAACAGCAACAACAGCAACAACAACAAAAAAACAACAGAAACCCGTTACAATAATACAAAAATACCACAAAAATACCACAAATATGTATATAAGTATTTCTAAATTCTTTTCCAGTTCTTTCCTTTATTTTCTTTTTCCCTTTTATTTTCTAATACTCCTTCGTTGTAGTTGAAACAAGTCGAAATACGATAAAAATCGGCAAAAACAATAACAATTTGATTTCTTTAATTGGCAGCCAAGTGAAAAAATTAAAAAAAAAAAAAACAAATCCTAAAAAAATTAATTTTAACAACATTTTCTGATGCTCCTCAGTTATTGTTTATCGTATTAAGTTTGAAATTTCCAATGCTTTTCTCCAATTAGCAAGTGAAATAAATACCAAAAAAATACCATAATTATATATATACAAAAACAAAAATCATACCGGGAACAAACTTTTTGTTTACAGGGGACTACCTGAAGTGTACAGAGTTCGAGTCCGTGTTAACTCGTAAGATAAAATGATTTATTTTTCCCCCTTTTCAATACCTACCCACACAAAACAAAAATACAAAAAAATACCAATAAAATACCCAAAAAAAATACCACACTAAAACTTAAAGAAAAATTGATAAACAACACAACAACAATACACAACACATATATACGAACCCTAGTCGTCTAATATAGCTCTTGCTCTCTCCCTAGCGTACTCTCTCTCTCTCTCTATCTCTCTCTATCTAATTATCTGTTACTCTCTCTTTTTCTTACTAACCCAATCGTAAACTTAAGGCAAGCGCTTGCTCGCTCGCAGTCTAATCCCCAACGATAGTTTATACGATATATCGCAAGCACTAACCCGTTTGCTCTCTTTCGTGTTACACGCTCTCTCGCTGAGCTCTAGCTGGCCGCTCTTTTTCTATCCAATACACAACCTCTGCCTCTCTCTATCTATCTTTCTCTTTCCTATAGTACCCTCCCCAAATACTAGTTTCAATATATATGTTTATGTGTATACTTAACGAATCTCTTCTCTCTCTCTCTCTCTCTATGGTTCTCTCTCTCGTACACTTTATAAGTAATATTTGCAGATATATACAAACTAAATACGTACTTAATACTTTTAAACTACTTATACTTAAACTATATATAGACTATATAAACTAGCCCTTAACGAAAACAACAATCTGCTCAATTAACAGTTGCCAAACACAACACTACTAAAACCATTGGCGTTAAACGTTATGCAACACTGAAGACTGTAACTCACACACACACACACACTTAAGCTGATGCCACAGCGGCCGCGAGAAGTGTAACGACATAAAAATCAAAGCAGAACGAAAAGCGGCACATAGCAAGAAGTGAAGCTTGGCAGCTAAAAACTAGCAGAGATAAGTTAGAAGCGAAGTGAAGAAAGAAGTAAAATAACGCAACCAACCAACGCAAGGTTGGACACCAAGCGCAGCCTAACGAGAAGCGAAAGCAAAGCAAGATGTTGAGCGAGAACGCATTTTAGTTCCCAGCTCAACTGAGCGATAAGTCAATAAGCCCAAGCGAGAAGCACATCAACCCGACTGGCAATGTCTTTTGAAGCAAAGCGAGAAGCTAAATACATTTCTGACATATTATTAATACTATGTTGATTCTTGCTTGTTAGACAGGGATTCACCATATGCTTCTCGCTTCTCTGCGAACAACTCATGCGCCAATGCTGCTCACTTTGCTCATGTCAAGTTTCTTTCTGCTTTCGAATCCGTTTCTTTCTTGGCTGACGACGTCTCCTGCCTGATGTCGCCTTACCAAACACTACTCGCTTCTGGAATAGTTTTGCCCAATGCTTCTCGTTGCTTCTTTCTCTATCAGCTCCTCACTTCTTTCAACGAAGCTTCTCGCTTCAGTCAACGCTTCTTGTGGAATGTGGGTCATCAGCCTTTACTCTAAACGATTGCCACAGTACATCAAACACACACACACACACACACGCACACACACACACACACATACACGCATACACTCGCACACCTGCAGCAGATACTAGTTACTCGTAATGTTTTGTAGCCTCCTCTGTGTGTGCGTGTCCGTGTCGTAAACGTAGTGAATATATGTTATGTATGTGTCCATGTCCTCGTCCCCGTCCTCGTACTCGTTCCCTTGTTCGTGCCCGTACTCGTAAATGTTTTAGCAACAGTTTTCCACTTGAACTTACACAAAAGTGTTTCAAATTCTGTTTCTTTGTTTCCTTGTGTTTTGTTAGACTTGATGTTCTCTGTGTCTATGTGTGTGTCTGTGTGTCTGTGTATCTATGTGTGTGTAACTCTGTGTGTCTCAGTTTTTTTGTTTCTGTTACTCTTTGCGTTATCTTGAGGTCTAGTTTGAAACTGACCCCAGTAAGTGTTACCCCCCCAAAAAAAAAAACGCAAATTTTCTTACAAGCAGACAAATTAGCCACAACACACACGCACACATGCACACATACACATGTAACTTGTGTTTTTTTAGAGCATTTTCTTTAACGTAGTTCTTGCAAAAGATTTCTGTTTTGTTTGTTATTTGCAATTATTTTTACTTACACACACACACACACACACACACAACTACACCTATACACACACACACTAGAGCACCCCACCTGAAGCTACATGTTATCTATGTATGTGTGTGTATCTTTTGTAAGCTCAACTCTTTTTACAGGAAAAACCATCAGTTTCTATTGCAAAGGTATTTAAAGCTGCCCCGGCCCCTAGCTTAACGTACCCCGAACCGCACACTCTCTGTCTCTCTCTCTCTCTCTCTCGCAAAACTCTTCACACAGCTTGCCACAAATGGAAGCTACAACAATAATCAAAATTAAAGTCGCATTACATACTCCATACTCCACACACACACACACACACACACACATACAGAGACACGCATACAAAAAACTTTTGCATACTTTTGCGCGCGCGAATTTTATATTTTATCATTTTTTTTTTGTTGGGTTTGTTCCTGGTGCGCGCACGTGCATATTAAACACATTATATAGTCACACACACACACACACACACACACACGCGTACATTTACGTTGACATTTTTGTGTCTGATGCCCCGCCCCGCCCCGCCCCGGCCCAGCCCCATTGTCGCTGTGGCGGCCCATTTGTCCACTTTGCGGCAACGTCGCGCGTTTAATTTAAATTGCTTTGGCGTTACTTCTGCTGCCTCTTCTTTTGTTTTATCGCCGTTTTATCTTCTGTTTGTCTTCTACTCTTTCTTCTTCTTCTTGTTCTCTTGCGTTGCACGCATTACGTCTTCATTTTGTGTCCGCTTCTTTTGGGTGCACAGTTTTTTGATGGTCTACGTTCCTCTTTTTTTTTTTGCGGCAGCTAAGTCGCCATTTTGTGGCATTTCTCTCACTCTCTGTCGCACACTCTCTTCGGTTAACAGGTACAGTTGTGTTTGTAGCCTGCGTGCTTGAACTGTGCTTTGTGGTGTGACGCACGTTCTTTGATCTTGCTTCTCTGACAACTTGTCTGTCTTGCTTGCGCTGTTTCCTCTATCTCTCTCTCTCTCTCTCTCTCCCTCTTAAAGCAAGCTCGGCGCCATTTTAACTGTTTTTAGCTTAAAGCTTGATGCACTCTCTAATTTATTTAAAAGTTTACATTGCTGCTGCAAGCTTAAAGCTCGAACTCTTTAAATTCACTCTGCTGCTGCAAGCTTAAAGCTTGACGCCGCTCTGAAGCTTCATACTCACGATCTTTTTCAAAAGCTCCAAGCTTTTTGCTTGTTGCTATCACTAAATTTTAACTTACGCATTTGTCCAAAGCTTTACGCTTTTGCCACTCTCTCTCCCTCTCTTTATATCTCCTTCTGTCGCAAGCTTTCAAATCTAGCTTTAAAGCGCAAAGCTTGTTTCTTCCTTTTCGCAAAAGCTATCGACTCACGCTTAAAGGCGCCTAGGCCTGCTGCTCTCGGCAGCTCAACTTATAAGCTCTCCCTTTCTCTCACTCTCTCCCTCTCGCTTTCACTCACAATTTCTCATTGTCTCACTTTCACTTTTGTATTGGATTTTGCATTGGATCAACACATCTCACTCTGTCAAATATCAATTAGTGTCTCACACACTCACACTCTCTCGCTCTCACTCTCGCTCTGTGCCCTGTCGAACTGCTCTGTTCCGGGCACAGAACACAAAATTCTCACAAAATCAAAATTTCATGCAAAACAAAAAAAGAAGAAATCAAAAACTTAACGCATAAATATCTCTCAAGCAACTTTTCACACGTACTCTCGCTCTCTCGCTATATCGCTATATCTCTCTTTCTCAATCTCTCCATGTTTGTTAAATGTTATAATATACTCGTAATCGCATAACGACATTAATCTGCGTATTAATTATAATATGAATTGATATAATATGTGAACTTTGATTGCTAAAAAACGACTATTTTTTGTGCTCTCTCTCTCTCTCTCTGTTTCTCTCTCTCTCTCTCTCTCTCTCTCTCTCTCTCTCTCTCTCTCTCTCTCTCTCTCTCTCTCTCTCTCTCTCTCTCTGTGTTCTTCTCTTTGCTCTCACTCATTGTCCGACTCTCTTTTCTATATATACATATATATATATATTTCATTTCCGTCTGTCTGGGTTCTTGCAACTTGTTTTCTAACCATTTGCCACCCGCAACATTCTCTTTACCCATCGAACGCAACTCGCAGCCTCTCGCAATATTATGAGTTCTCGAAGGATCAGGATTATATATGCTCCACGCCCGAGGATTCGGGCATGCATCTGTGCGGCAATTTTCCGCCATATCGCATCGGCTCACTCGTTTGCAGCGGTAAGTGTACACATAATATTAAAAACAAGAACTTTCTGCCCCCCACCCCCCCTCTCCAGCAACACCCGCGTAACTTATCCCCCCGCTGCCATGACCACGCCTCCCACTTAATGAGCTGCAAATGGCGCTTGTTAATCAAATTTTGATGGCACTTTTAATTGCTTTCGCGCTGCTCAACTTTGTAGCTTATAAGTAAGCACCCGCACCCGCACCCCCTGTCATCACATTCCACCTCTCCCCTCTCTCACTCTCACGCTCTGTTTTGACATCTGTGAACTCAACATTTTTGCAGAGGAGGCCAAACTGCTGGACCTGAATGAACCAACGAACACGTCGTGCGTGAATTGGAATCAATATTACACGACCTGCAAGCAGAGCGGCGAGAATCCCTTTCAGGGCACCATATCCTTTGACAACATCGGCATGGCCTGGGTGGCCATATTCCTGGTAAGTTGCAGTTAGCCCCAGCTCGGCCGCAGAGTTTGCCAATTAGCGCTTCAACTTTCGCTGAAAACATATAACAATGACAACATTGACACAGCACAAGCCCAACTCACAGACAGGACTTACGACTCGTCGCTGTTGCATGTTAATTTCGCTGCTCAGTTGCGGTGGCAGTTGCCACTTTTGGCATCGCTTTCAATTAAAACAACAACAACAACGACAACAACAGTAGCTGCCAATTTGCATAGGGCAGCTGGCGCTGTCTGCGAAGCGGGTCACGATTCGCCCCGCGGCAACACGCGGCGTATGCGCAATATGTCAGTCAATAGTCAGCATCATGTTGCCCGCAGCCCGTCGCCAACTAGCTGCTAAATTTCGTTTGCGGCATTGATTGACTCATTTTGGGACCTATCAAGCTGATTGGCCAACTAGCAATTGGAATTAAAAACATTAATAGACAAACAATGCCACAAATAAACAGATAAAGAACAAGACACAGATGTATATAAACAAAGATGTATATACAAAGTACACAGCTACAGATACAGCTACAATCTATGCATACAGATTCAGATAGATATGGTCATAGATGCAAATTTATCTGTATAACGATAGAGATAGAGAAAAAGTGAAAGCTGTTTAGATACAGATTAATTCAAAAAGTCACAGATACATTTGTAATAATTAACTTATTTATGCATGAATCTCTATATTTGCCACATCTTTAAATTTGTATCTGAAATAACCCCGATATATATTTCCATACAAAGATACAGGCTATAGAAAGAGATACTTATGTACTTACACACAGGCTATTAACAAGTACGCATAGCTACAAAATAATAGCCAAAGATAGATCTATAATTAGCTACAGACACAATAACAAATCGATTAACAGATATGCAAACTCAGATACGACCTTAAGATACATATACTCGCCAGCACAGGTGTGGATGCACATGATTGGTTACAGATGCAAACTGAAATTCTTTGAATTCAAATTTGGCCACAGGCTACAGATACGTGCACAGATATTAATATAAATATCCATATTGTTATTGATAAATATAGACTCAGATACACAAATATGCATAAACAAAAATACAACAAACAATTACAAAAACTCTTACAAACAGCTACAGATAGAAAGGCAGAGAAGATACATTTAGAGATATGCATATTTAGATACAGATACAATTACATAGATACGAATTTGAATTTGAATACAATAATCAAAACACAAAAGAAAAAGATACATATGTGGATATATCTAAAGATATAGATTGAGAAAAGATACAGTTAACTGATACAGATACTTTTTGCATGTATACAGATACAAATACTTTTATGGAGATTCAGAAGTGATGGTAACTCTCTAAATACTTGAAACTTTCAAGCTAAAAGATATAGTTAGGGGCATATATACAAATGCAAGCTAAAGATATTGATTGAGAAAAGATATAGCCTGCAGATACACATATACAGATGAAGGCTAAATAGTTAAAAGAGACAGATTCAGATATGAATACGAACCGAATTGCTGAGGTTCAATTGGCACAAATACAGATACATTTCTATCTCTGCCTAGTCCATTCAGATGCACAAGCACAGATAGATTTGTAAGTATATTCAGATGCCGATATACGAATATAGATACAAATGCAGCTCGCAGTTGCCCACTCGGCCCATCGCTGTCATCGTTTTGCGGCCGCTTTGATTTGTGACTTTGATATTTGCCCATTAGGGGTAGCCGCTTATTTGGGGAGGAGATTGTGGGCTGTGTAGGTGGGGCGGGGCGGGGTTTAAACGCTTTGCAATTAAACACAAATCAAATACGCATTAAACCAGCTGCCGCGCGGACAGCACAGGACACGACACGTCACGACCAGATACGAGCAGACGGACCAAAAACAGCTCTGAAATATTACGCATACGTGACGTGGTACAAAATGAAGAGCCTCAGTTGTTGCTGCTGCTGCTGACCTTTGGGCTGCTGCCACGCTGCTAATTACGCTTAAAACAAAAACAACAACAAACATAACGCTTGTCACTTGTCATTGCAGGTCATCTCGCTGGAGGGCTGGACGGACATTATGTACTACGTGCAGGACGCGCACAGCTTCTGGGACTGGATCTACTTCGTGCTGCTAATTGTGGTAAGTGCGCGAATGCAGACAAATTGCACAGCTGCAAATTTGTTTAATGAAATATATATGGAATATATATAATATTCCGATTGTGCAAGGCACAGCCAGATCTACAGCTAGATTGCCTAATTCCTGACAAGAGTTCAATTTTGTGCAGCAAATTCCACCCGCAAGCGTGGAAAATATGTGCAAAATAGTTGAATCGAACTGTTTTGCCTAACTTTCAAATTCATTGCCAAGAAACTTTCGGAAAATGCATTTGAGACGTCTTTAACACTTTTTGGCTATATGGAGGTCAAACGCTGGCCGGGCGAAGGTTCAAGTTTCTTGCTACTAAATTTCAACTTAGACATGTTTTTTATGGTCAAAATAAGGTCAAACGGCCAAATTGATTTTATGCAGATGTAATTAGTAACAAGCAAAGGGCAACTTCTCCATGCGCTTGACTTATAAATATTTGCTGCAGATCTCACAGACTATAAGAGCTACAGATCTGAAACTTAAGCGTTCCACAACTCAAGCGTGTTTTGAATAATTCCATGAAACTGATTAGAATCTATATCTAAACTAATTTCTGAGCATATATCAAATTTGGTATGTAGCATATCTTCGAGTCTAAACGAGAACTGAGTAAGAAAAACAACTCAATTGAGTCTTGGCTTTTGGACATGCTTGTGCCCTGAACATTTTACAAAGATCGGACAATAAGCACCGAAGTTTTCCGAAGTGCGGGCCTGAGAGGTAAGAAGAAGCACAGTCTGTGTTTGTACAGGCAGGGTATCTTGCAATCGTGCACTCTCGACTAGCGCTCCTTCAGTTGTTGTTTTTTTGTAAATAATCGACTTGAGTTGCTTGCACAAAGCTGCAGCTAAAGCAATTTGAAAATGTAAATAAGTAAGTAAACTTTTGCGCACAGCTAGAACAAACCCGGCCACAATAATAAAATATAAGAGCGCAGCTGCCCAGTTGAGGGGAGACGCAGCTGCAGCGTGCAACTGTCCAGCTGGCAACATGTTGCAAGCTGCTGCTGTGCCTCCCTCTTGTCTGTGCATATGTGTGAGTGTGTGTGTGTGTGTGCGTGTGTGTGTGTGTGTGTGTGTGTGTGTGTGTGTGTGTGTGTGTGTGTGTGTGTGTGTGTGTGTGTGTGTGTGTGTGTGTGTGTGTGTGTGTCTATCAAGGCAGGTGTCCTTGGGCTAATTAAAAGCCTTTTAAGCAAACAGACATACACTCTGCCACACACACACGCACACACACACACACATGCGGACAATTTCATTATTTATGTTTAAAGTTCGCTCACATATAGCGCGCTCTCTCGCTCACACACACACACACACACACACACACATGTGTGCCAGCTGCTTTGTTAGCTGCTCATTTTATGTGCAAAATGATTTTTGCTATTGCCCAAACAACAAGAACAGCAACAGCTTTTGATATGCAAATAGCTTGCAGTCTATGCCCAACATATCCACCTGCCCCTGAGTCCATCCACTGCCAATACCCTGCCACCCCCCCCCTTCCCCCCCTTCCCCCATTAACCCATCCACCCGGCTTGAGCTATTGAAAGTTGCTTGTTGCTGGCAAGGAAATTGCATATTTATGTTTTTAGAAGCATTTTGTGCAGCGAGTGTGCCACACAAATACAAAAATTAGAAACATTTTTCTTAGTATACCCTGTAAAAGTGACCATATAGGGTAGGGTGTCTGCCCAGGCCACATGTGCTCTACCATAAAATCGACTTGTTGCATCTCTGATCTCTGAGACTATACGAAAACTTGGAAGGTAGCCTCTCCCATCTGGCTATGTGCCAGATTTTGGGCAGATAATCCCAATACAGTACAGTCTGTTATAAGATTTACAAATCTGTTAATCGAAGTATCGATCAAATCGATTGCACCATAGATTGCATCGATTGCGTTATCGATCACACCGGTTTCTTTAGCGATAACATCGATTGCTTTATCCATTTTACCTTTTCGGTTTAAATTGTTAACCAATACACAATTTAGACTTTCAAAAGTTATTTGCCGAATATATCAATTAACAATAAGCTTTCTATCGACTATCGATACGAAAGAAAGCGCATGCTACAATCATTTCTGGAACCAATATTCTGATTTGCAAAATGTTAGCTCTGAAACTTTTCTGAGGATCATGAAATAAAAACAAAAGCTGGACAATGCACTTTTGCATGGGAATAAATTTCATTATAATATATTTGGCAACTCAATTTACAATTATTTCAATTGAATTTATATTTATATTTTTGAATAGAAAACAATAAAAAGAAGTCAGTTTCTTATATCCGAGCGAGCGCTAGAATTTGCGTACAGGGTATCTGTTAGTCTGGCAGATAGCTGCATTTCTTTTTTGTTGTCCTAGTTTTGGCCGTTGTTGTTGTTATTGTTATTGTTGCTGATGCTATTGTTGTTGAAAATATGTTTTCAATTTAAAGTTAGCAAATTTGTTTTGCCAGAAAGCTATTAAAATGCAAAAGCAGCTAATGGATGACCATCTGCATAGGAAGAGCGAAAACAGGCGAGCGAGAGAGAGTGAGGGGTGGGTGGGGGGCAGAGAGAGCGTTGGAGGAAAGGGGAGAGCAAGTGAAATTGACAGCTCAACCAATTTGCAGCAAAAGTCATTGAACGCACAACAATTCAAAAGTTCGACAACTCGCAACAGCCCGAGCTGCCCATTAACCGTGCTGCCTGTTGCAGCTGCCTGTTGCGAAGCTGCCCCAATTTGTGGCACAAACTTGCTGTCGCCTTGCCTGCTTAAGCGCAATCCGCAGACGTTGAACCGGTCGCTGGTTCCAATCGAATCTTGCACCATATTCTCGTTTTAATCAGGCATTTGTTCTGTTCATGTTGCAGATTGGCTCGTTCTTCATGATCAACCTGTGCCTGGTCGTCATCGCCACCCAGTTCTCGGAGACGAAGAAGCGCGAGATGGAGCGAATGCGCCAGGAGCGTGCCCGATATACGTCAACATCGACGCTGGCGAGCAGCACCAACAACTCGGAGCCGGCCACGTGCTACGCGGAGATTGTCAAATACATAGCCCATCTGTGGCGCCGCTTCAAGAGACGAATGTTAAAGAAGTACAGATTATATAAGTATGCTGCTTGTCCTTTTTCAGTTGATTCGATTATGTTTTTTGTTCACTTTTTACCATTTACGACTTAACGTTTACCGTTTACCATTTATCGTTGACATCGTTTATTGTTCTCTTGTTTTTCTGGCCGTCTAAGTCCCCATCAAATATTTAACATGAACTTCACAATTGCTTGAGCTTAACAACAACTGCAACTGCCAAATTGTGGCCAGGTCAGGCTTTCATCTTGTATCTAACAAATTCAAGGACTAATCCTCGCGCTAATCTCGCTTGAGCAGCCAAGCTGAAGCAGCTCGCATTCTCCCTTTCTCTGTGTCTCCCTCTCTCTCTCTCTCTCTCTCACTCACTTTCTCTCTCTCTCTCTTTAAATGATTGACAGAACTCCTTCTCTACTTCAGCTAATTGTTGATAACTTAAGCCTTGTCAGCCCATCCAAAATGATGAAAATGAATTCTCAGAAGAACCTTTTAATAAGCTTTTTCATATCGAATACCTTTGATTTGTGCTCTTATTTAAGGAGCTTTATTCTTTGGCCTTAAGCTTGATTCAAGCTTGATTCAATCAAAACCCTTGACTTGGCTCGAATCCAGCTTCGACTCTGTTTTTGAAGCAATTCAGTGCGTGGTTTCTGCTGGAATAAGCGATATTGGGGACTTCAAACCCATCTTCCTAAGCTCCACTCTTCCAGATATAAAGAGTAGTTTTCTTATTCTTGAAGTTGTCATACTCCTGTTTCTCTGGATATATTTCTTCTTGGAAAGACAAATGTCTAAGGTAAAATGGAATTCGGCAAATATATATTCTCTCCTTATCCCTAACAATTGAATTCTGGATCTGAACTATCCTCTTGCAGCCATCCATTCCAGATGCTTGTACTTTAAATACTTTCTAGAGGAAATACCTTCCTCTAATAGAAAACAGATTGAGCAAATGCAAGAAATCCTGATAAATTCTCAAAGGAAGCTCCCTATAACAGTTGCTTAAAGAATATAGATTCGGATTCGAAGACTTTCCAGATATGCTTTAAAGCTTTCTCAATGAAACTTTGCATAGGTTCGTCTTTCTGTAGCAGGCAGCACATATGTGAAATCGATCGGATCGGAGCACTATATCATATACATATGACAAAGGAACGATCGCTTGATAAGTAGATTCTTTAGGAAAATGGTTTCAATCTTCAAGTTATCTTGATCAAGCTCGGCACTTACTATTTAAGCTATGCTGTTTATGTGTCAAGACATAACAAGATCGCATTTCTATATAATATATGAGTTCTGTCTATATACAATATATCTAGTTATAAAGAGATTGAACGCTGTAAGCCTTATTGTAATACATCAAATGGAATTGCTGGATCCACCTGTTAACCAGATATTAGAAGCTTCTGACTCGGCTGAGTCACCCTCCCTCACCCTCCCCCACCGTTCCACCCGCAGCCCTCGTCGTCGTTCGATTTTATTGCAATTTATTTGCGAGACACGACCTGTTCGTCTGATTCGCGGACTTGTTTTGGTTTTACTTTTTTCTTTTTCCGTGTATTTTGTTTGATTTATTAAAAATTCATTTAACATGCGTTCCGCCTCTCACGTCCTGCAGCGCACGTGTCCTGGCGCTCGTTTTTTATGCGTTTCGCGTGCTTTTCCACTTTCTTTTTTTTGTTACATTTTCATTTTTATATAGTTTTTTCTTTTATTTGCTGTTATTTTTGTTCAGCTTTTTAGTTTTCTCGTTTACAGTTGTCAACTTTTTGGGTTTTGCATATTTTATGACCTTTGCTTTTCAATTATTTGCACTTGCATCTGGTCGCGTGTGTTGTTCGGTGTGTTGCTCTCTGTCCGTCTGTGTGTGTGTGTGTGTGTGTGTGTGTGTATGTCTCACATAGCAAAACATGAGAGCAACACACAGAACATTGCATAGAGTTTAGACTTAGTTGCTTAGTCATGAAATATCGATGTGAACGTGAACATGAATGTGAACGTGAATGGGAATGTGAATGAAGTAAGTGACAGCCAGAACTAGATATAATGTATGAAAGTTATGAACTTAGCTAGGATAGTTACATAGCACTAACAGAATAGAACAATAAGAAAAGCCAACAATATTTCTACAGAAATAAATAAAATAGAGCCCTTTCTAAAATAGCTTGCCTTGAGCCACAAGCTTTCAGGCCAATTTAAAAATATTTCCTCGAGCTTTAAGAAGCTTTCAAGCCTGAAGATTATGAAAGTATCTTAAGCCAAAAACGCCTTAAGTTTCATGGACTTTCATAGGATTTTAATCATGGATTCAGCTTCAATCCGAATTATCCAATAAAACTTTTTTAAATCAGCTTTTATCAGCTTTTTTACAAGTGCAATTAACTTTGCTTAGAGCTCACTTAAAGCTTACGTAAAGCTTTGATCTCTAGCTTTAAAGCACATTAAACCTGATTTTAAGTGTTGGAAAGCATATGAAAATAAAATAAAATTATATATAATTAATAGAATAGAGTAAAGCTGTGGCAAGGCACAATATTGCATTAAATCCATTTAAAAAGGGGGCAGAATAAATTGATTACATTGTCTCACGCCCGGCTAAGTGCTGCCCCAGGCCATCAGTAATTTCTGTTTTATGTTAGGCAACACTGGCTTTTCTTGCTCTACCATTTAACTCAATTTGAACAAGCGTGTGAAGTGTCTGCTGCTTAAAGAAGACGTTAGGTTGAGCCCGTTAGCAACACGTGCAACAACTTTGTAGCTCTAGAGACCAGAACGCACAATATCTTATTAGCCATATCTCCGTCTATTCCGGCCCTGCACCCGCTGTTCTGTCTAAGTTTTATGTCGAGTTTGCTGTGAACTGTGTTAATTTTAATTTGCATTCAAGTCTTGTACGACGCTCGTTTGTTGTGGTTGTCGTTGTTTTTGCTTATTTGCGTTCTTCATTTGATTGAATTATGTAATTGTTGTCTAATTGTTAAGCACACACACGCACACAGACGCACGCACGCACGCACGCACGCCCGCACACGTCTACACAGCCATACAATGTCTAATGGCTCCAATGAGACCTACCCGCACGCACGTAACAGCGCCCCCTCTCCCACTCAAAAACCACTAAGACCCAACACGTTGCTTTGTGTACCTCACATGTGTGCGTGCGTGTGTGTGTACAAGTGGGTGTGTGTGTGTGTGTAAGTGTACTGCATGACACTGTCAGTGACAAGACACTAATCGTTTGCCCTTTGCCCTTTTATCCTGCTACTGCTGCTGCTGCTGTCGTCGTCGTCGTCGTCTCACCTCTGCAGGTATCAGCGGCAGCAGCGTCGGGAGGGCCTGCTGCCCAATGCGGACAATCTGACCTTTTCGCCGTCGCGGATCAAGTGCCACCATCCGAACTGTCCCAAGTACAGTAGTCGCAAGCCGCCCAGCATACAGGATCAGATGATTACCGTAATGGTGCCGCTCAACTCCAACAACAACAACAATAGCCACAACAACAGCAACAACAACAGCAGCAGCAATAATGGCAGCGGCGGAGGCGGATCAGGCGGCAATCATCACAGCCACAATCACACCACCGTGGCCCTGGTTAACGGCATCAACGGCAGCACCGCCAGCGTCTCCATGACCCAGCAGCAGCTGACGGCGCCCATTGCTGGTGCCGCAGGCGGAGCTGGTGGTGCAGCGACCCAGGCGCAGCTGTCGTCGTCGGACAACACGGAACAGTCACTGGGCGAGGGCAGCGCGGGTGCTTCGGGAGTGGCTCGTCGCAGCTCTTCGCTGAGGAAGCCCAACGCCCAACATAGCCACAGCATACAGCTCAAGCCGGAGATGGCTGGCGGCGAGCAGAAGACAATTCTGCTTAAGTTGCCGCAACAGGTCATGGACTCGGAGCAATTGATCGTAAGTATCCGTAAAAAAAAGCTAAAGTTGATTAAGTTCCAAATCCAAACTGTCCAATGATAAACGATATGCACATGCCAAATTTGTAGGCCACAAAATTCGATATGCCATGAGAAACCAAATACGATATACGAAACACGATATGACATACTAATACGATACATCATTTAAACTACATCAAATAACATACACAATTTAATGTGATATACAGATATACGATCTACCATACGATACGGCCAGACAATATACTACATACGATCAACCGATTCTAATGTCATATGCGTTACACGAAATATGATTTCTTGCGACATTTTACAGACGATAAACCAAGTACGATATAACACATACGATATACCATGTATCCACATAGCACAGACGATACACCATGAACATACGATATAATATATCTTATATACGATATTCGAAACATCATACGATACACATACGATATACCATTTACGATATACCACAGATGACATACCATGCACAACGTACCAGATACGATATACCCTGTACGACATACCACATACGATATACCCTGCACGACATACCACATACGATATTCGATAAACCCAATTGAAAAACCAACCCAACCGCAGCGAAGCGTCTCGTTCCGCTTCGTTGAAAATTCCAAACAATCAATTAACTCCACAAACAGACAGCCAATGTAATAATACCAGCTCCAATAATACTTTTGACCATTCACTAACTAACTTTAAAATGCCGCTAATAATGATCTTTCATATTTGTCATGAACGTTGCACAACTTGTAGCTGCAGTTGGGAAATTTAGGCAAGGTATTGCAATCTATCACAACTAAAATCTATAAATCCATAAAAGAAATGAAAACCAGGAGTGAAAGCAAGAACTTCGGCCAACCGAAGCAACCCAAGCAGATATATGGACACGGGCAAATTAACTTAAATATGTTTATATTATTTCGGCCTCAATTCATTTATCAAAATCAATTGGCAAACTAAAAGGAAGAGCTTTACCCGCAAATGCATCGAAATATTACCAAGCTAATCAAAAAATGCATAGCATACTTTTCAGCTATTTTCGAAAATTGCGCAGATAAAATGTTAATTAAATTGAAAAAAAAAGAAAAAACAACAACACCCGTATTAATATACTATATTCTGCAAGGGCATAAAGATATTATTTTTGACACCCATCTGATCCGGGCAATGCATTTATTAAACAATAACAACTCGAAGATAAATGCAAATTTACGCCCATTTGAAACCAAATAAATGTATAAACGACCCCCTTCCAGCCCCACTCCATTTCGTGTACGCCTCATTGTTCTAATAGCCGCATTGTTGAAATGCCAATTAATTATTCAATTATTTGTTTCATTTCATTGCATATGTAAATGGCAATCGAGACTCGGTTAATACGACTATTCTCTCGCTTGCCAGCGAGTTGGCAAAAAGATACAGATACAAAAATGGGGGTCAAAGAGCGCAAATCCATAATATGCCTATGCATATTAGATACAATTAGTAGATACAAATTGACAGCGCGCTTTTTGTTCTGTTTAATAGAACTTTTGGGCAGATAAGCCGGACTTATTTCTGCTTTAGTCCCACGAGACTCGATTAATGCCTCACGTAATACACTAGATATTCCAGGTAGCTGGATTAGTCCCATATTCCCATCGTCTTTCCTTGTAAAACTGACAAATATTTATGTAGATAGCAAAAACGATTTTCAAAATGAACCCTTTTCTATTTTGAGCACAAGATAATTAGAAGAAGAGATTTTATTTAAATATTAGCTTTAAGATAAAGTAAATTTATCAAGGACTTTAGAGATTTTTCAATAATATTCTGACTGTTTCTTGTTCTTTTTTCTTATTTCTTTTTATATTTTTATGTAAACAAAATCGCATGCCTATTGTTTATTCAAATACAGTATTTAGAAACCAGTGTTGATTAAGTCCTTGTGGGAACTAGTTTGAAAAATCATTTGAAAAAAAAATCATGCTCGAAAAAAAGAGTCAAGAGCAACAAAATAACAAAAAGTTCAAACTGAAAATTGCTTAAAAATATTGTAAAGAGATTTCAAAAGAAAGAAAAATTTTCTGAAGAGAATTTTTGAAACAATTTTTTTGTTTTTCTTGTTTAATTCCTCTAGAATGCTAGAACGAAATTTGAAAATGTTGTTTGTACTTTTGTCGTCGAAAGTCCTTAATATCCGTCAGCGACCAGTGCCCACTGTACATAGCACGCATAGCTAATGTTTCCGAGTTATTTCAATTCAGAAATTAGATTAATTTTTACCTATTTTCTTAAATAATGCAATTATATGATGCGTCTAATGCTTGTTTTCCATTCTACCCGGACTCCCTCTCTCTCTCTCTCCTCCAATCTCTCTCGCTCTCTCTCTTTCTGTGTGCCTCTCTAGAGCCATCCGTGCACCTCGGGCTTTCTTAGTCCGCCCACCTCGGCCAGCCGCCGGCCCTCGGTGATGTTCAATGAATACGTGCTGCTGCATACGCCGCCGGCGCTCAGCGGCGAACCGACGAGCAGTGCCGCTGCCGCCGCCGCCGCTGGCGGAGCTGCTGCTGCTGCTGCCACAACAGCAACAACAACAGCAACAACATCATCAGCAGCAGCAGCAGCAACTGCAGCAGCAACAACAGCTACGGCAGCAACCAGCAATGGCAGCGGCAGCAGCAGCATCCAACTTGCGGAGAAGGGCAACATACACTGCACGGAGAAGATGACACAGGCGGGCGATGGCAGCATCTGGCAGGTGAGTGCAAGCAAGGTGAGCCAAGCAGAAGGAGCGATGCAGTTAATGAGAGATTTGCTTTGTCGTCTGTTTAAATGCAGGTGAATCTACCGCAGACCATCGGCACCATTGCCAATCCCTACGCAGATTGCTCTGAATTGGGTATACACGACGCGATGACTTGTCAAGAGCTTTTAGCATTCTCTGTGGCCTTTTCAGCGGCATTGCCCACGGGTCAAAGCACGCTCGAATCATTTTACTCGTCGCTGGCCCGCTGCGATCCCCATACCGCCGAGGCGCTCAACAAGGTGCAGCAGAAGCGCGCCACAGCCGCAACGACGAGCGCTGCTGCAGCAGCTGCAGCTGCTGCTGGCGATACCCTCGATGCCAATGCCGATCTGCCGGCCGTGCCAGCTACTATGAGCGTTGAGCTGGCGGCCGTCTCGGCGGCTGTCCCGCTGCCCATGCCCGTGCCGCAGGCTGAGGCTCAGCTGCAGAGCCGACGCAAAGCGCAGCATATGCCGCACAACAACAACAACAACAACAGCAGCAGCAACAACAACAAGAACAACAAAAATACCAGCCACAGTCGCAGCCATGGCCAACGCAGCGCCGGCCATGTGTCGCGCAGCCACGCCCCCACCGGCAACTATATGGAAGATTATGCCTGCTGCTACGATCTGTACCAGAACGCGCTCTCGCCCCTCGACGAGCGACAGCGTCCGCGCTCGGGCGCCCTGCGCCTGATCATCGCCGTCTATCGCTGCCTGATGCGCGTCTGCAGCTGGATACGGCGGTACATTAAGCGTCTGGTGGAGCACAAGTACTTCCAGCAGGGGATACTGCTGGCCATATTGATCAATACGCTGTCGATGGGCATCGAGTATCACAATCAGCCCGAGGAGCTAACGGCCATTGTGGAGACCAGCAATGTTGTCTTCTCCGGCATCTTTGCCGTCGAAATGCTGCTCAAGGTGGTTGCCGAGGGACCCTTTCGCTACATAGCCAATGGCTTTAATGTCTTCGATGGCATCATTGTCATACTCAGGTGAGACACGCTCAGATCCTGCCTACATATAATCCATGCTGACTTCTCTCCCTCTCTCTCTCTCTCTCTCTCTCTCTCTCTCTCTCTGTCGCTCTGTTGCCAGCGCCATTGAGATTTGCCAAACATTTGCGGGCAATGGCACGGGCGGCGGCGGCTCCGGTTTGTCCGTGCTGCGCACCTTTCGGCTGCTCCGCATCCTCAAGCTGGTCAGGTTTATGCCCAATCTGAGACGTCAATTATTTGTCATGCTGCGCACCATGGACAATGTCGCCGTCTTTTTCTCCCTGCTCGTGCTCTTTATATTCATATTCAGGTGAGTTCCACTGTTGCCACACGGCACAATAACACGCACACTCTCACATACACACACACACACACACACACACGTACACACACACACGCACACTCACACATATATGTATATATGTGTACTAACAAGAACAAGTGCCTGGAGGCAGACGCCTGCCAAGGACACGCCCCCACCTCATGACTCTTAACAAAAAACTAACCTGGAAATGAAAGATGTCATCTATATAATACCATTAAAAAAGAAAGAAAACGGAAAACAGAGTCTCGTGAAAATGCTGGCAAGAAAGGAAATTGAAAGCACAAATGAAAATAAATTGTTGAAAAATAAGAAGTCTTAAAAATGGATACGTTAGGTGAAATTTTATTTCGTTAAAGATTTGATTTTAATGCCCATAAATTTAACGCAAGAAACTTTAAAATTGAAGAGAAGCTCATAAAATGAGCTTAAAAATATTTACAAATTTTAATTATTAATTAATTTTGCGTGGAGATTCATTTGATTCGCAATTATTAATATGCACATATTTTTGTTTCGAAAGAAAATATGTATTCAATGTTGCGTACATTTGTTCTCTGAGCTCAGCATACCTATTGATACATGCGGCATATCTCTAAGAATATCTGTTATATTCCCTTCAATCATTTATGATTTTTATACAATTTTCTTTTGAACATATCTTTGATACATCCCTATCCCAACTTGCCAGCCTTTTCACAACTAAGCACTGCGATAAACCATTTTAAACACAAAGAATCGCAAATGCTGAATCGAACTCAAAGCGACCCACAAAACCAATTGACCCGCAAAACAATCATCCGTTGAGTGTGTTTGTTAGCCCTTAGCTGTCGTTCACGACCCACGACTAACATTAAACAGCTCTTAGAGCTCCGATAATACGTATGTCTAGTAACTATCCATAAGTACATATAGTTGCTTACCAATCATAATTTACACGCTCTTCGCTAGCAACTTAATCCCAAACAACAAAAGAACAACAAACAGAAATACACAGATACTCGCAACATAGAGAACAGATCGTTCACACAGACACACACACACACACACACACACACATACATACACACATACATACACATTTGCGCTTGCATCAGAGCATATATCTATACGTATAGCTCTATGTTTCGCACAGATGTGCTTCTGCTCTATCTCTGTCTCGCTCACTTTCCCGCTCTCTTTCTGTCACTCTCTCTCTCTCTCTCTCTCGTTGCACACACAAGAACACGCGGTCTCTCATCTACAACACATTTTCTCCCGCTCTCTCGCTCTCGCTCTTTCGTCTTCTTTTCCTGCGTCATGCTACACGAAACACTCGCCCCTAACCGAACCAAAAGTAATATTTACAATGCCCTGTAATCTATTTTATGCTCTAATACCAAATTTAAACTAATACAAAAAGTACCTTGCGTAACATTTGAGTAAACGATTGCGTAAGACTTACTCTCTCTCTTTCTCTCTCTTTCACTCACATTCTCTTTTACTGTCTCTGCCTCTCGTTTAAATTAAATATATTCATTATCTTGAATAGTAGTTAGAATTTTACAGTCAAAATCTAAATCGTACGTCCAAGTTGAACCAGCTTAATTACTCTTTCCGACCCCGTCTCGCTCTCTCTATCTTACGCTCTTCGTTTCTATACCTCTCTCTCTCTCTCTTTCTGTCTGTCTTTATCTTACACAATTCGTTGCTGCCGTAAGTTGTCGTACACTCGCTCGCTCACTCTGCATTCCAAACACACTTAATACACACACACGTAAATGGCTTCGAGTGATTGTCTTCTACTTTGTCTCTCTCTCTCTCTCTCTCTCTCTTTCTCCCTGTCTCGCTCTCTCGCTTACACACACAAATTGGAAATCGATTTTGAGCACCGACCAAGAGTCGCTGCATTTCTTAAGGCTACCTCTCGCATACGATGTGCGCTCTTTAACTCGTATATTTCTTAACTTTCCTTTTTTTAACTTACTCGCTACTCGTTACTCGCCACTCGCTACTTGTCACTCGCCGCTCCATTCACGAGCCCCGAAATATACGCACTTGATGTGCGATCTTAACTCTTTTTAAAGCTCGTTTATTTATTTTATACTTACTCTTCACTCGCTACTCGCTACACGCTCCAAAAGACTCGTTACAATTCATTTTCCAATTCACTTGGTTTGCTTTAATTTTATCACAGACAACAGCCAGAATATCAATAACATACAACAATTAGCTAGTTAAAGGCTTCGAAAGCTTCATTCAATTAAATTAACTAAATGTGTGTATTAGCTTTTAGCGTTTACCAACACTTAACTTGAAACAAACAAGCCACAAACACAAGCAAAGCTCAAAATTTTATAACACACTTGTGAACTTTAAAGCTCACGCTTTTATTTTGTTTAAACACAACATGGATTACCTAACACTAGACATGCACTACAAATCTTTAGTTAGTAAAACTGAATCCGGAAACAACCACAACGAGAACCACCGAAACAGCGAACACTAGATCTAAAGACAACAACAGCAACAACAACAACGACAACAAAAAGTATATTGAAACTAAAAGTAAAAGTACTTTAAAATCGTGTACGCTTATTGTGTAGTTGCAGTCGCTGCAGTTTGATTCTCGTATTTACCATATACAAATTATATATCATAATATATATATACTTTATATATCTACTAATAACTACTCGTAACCAATATACTACATACTCGTTCTCGTACCACTTGCTTTCTTTCTATATCTACTATTAATATTCGATTTTTAAAAATACATCTTAACATATTACATAAAATGCTCTTGATTTCGCAAAATACCAACAACCAAAAAAAATACTAAATACTTAAAATTTAAAATACGCAAAAAAAATCGTACATTTTTACCAAAGCTTAGCTTAGCTTAGTTGCTCTGTTCTTGAACTAAAAGTCGTATACGTTTGTGTAGTTAGAAAACAAAAAAAAAAAAAAAAAAAACAAAAAAATGTTTAAAACCCATCGAAAAAATAATACTACCTTAACAACCACAGTCAGACAACAATATACCAAATACAAATGACATAGACCACCACGTGACACAACTCCAATGAAAGTAAACACAGAAGAGTCTACCCTTGAGACCCAGACTTTCAGCCCAACGTCATGTACTCTAACAAATAACTTAAACAAACGCCTTAACTAAATGCCCACCAAATTAATAATAATACAATAATGAAATATACTAATACACCAGCGAATAATACAAATATTTTCTACAACTCCATTTTAGGCTTCAGCTTTAACTTTTCAGCCTTTACGCCCTTCGGCAATGTTCTTTTCTGTTTCACTTTTCGGTTCAGTTGTCCGTCCGATCGAGCGCGTCTGTATGGGTGAGCTTTTGAAAGCTCTCGCCTGCCCAGCACTGCAGCTGGCCTTTAAGCAGCTTTCGTTTCTGTACGTGAGCCGTGTCTGTGTGAAAGCTCACCAAATTTCAATTCGATTCCATTTTGAGTTAATGCAAGAAATCGAAAACTCTTTTCGTAGTGATTTTGTTCTATATTATCGCTCGCTTGCTGCTCACTTACAGTCACATACTTTCTCTCTCTCTCTCTCTCTCTCTGCTCTCTTTCTTCCTTAACTTTCTCTTTATCTCTCTCTTTTATCTCTCTCTCTCTCTCTCTCTCTCGATCTATTTCTCTCTAAAACCACACAATTGCTATACTATTAAATATTTATACTAAAAATGACTTTTAATCCAAATTAAACTAAAAAATTGTATGCTAAATATACACAACAAAAAACCCCAAACCAAAAAAACACAAAAAAAAAAAATAAATATTAATAATAATACATAATAATAAAAAAAAAATTTACAAGAATATTATACTATCGAAATATATATATATAAATGTATATCATATTATACTATATCAACAAATACCAAACCATCACTTTAGTATACTCGGCATGAATCTGTTCGGATGTAAATTCTGCGAGAAAATTAACGGAGAGAAGATTTGCGATCGTAAGAATTTCGACAGCCTGCTTTGGGCGCTCGTCACAGTGTTTCAGGTAGACCTATTGCTATCAGCATTTAACTACATATATATATATATTTATATATACCACTTATACATATCTAATAAATACCAATAAATACCACTATACGAATATGTTTAAATATATATATATATATATATATATATGTATATATATATATATACCACCTAAACTTATGCCATAATGTAATCTATCGATAACTAACACTAAATGTTCAAAAAGTAACAACAAAAATAAGAAAATTCTTTTTAAATACCAAAAAAAATATACCAAAATGTAAGCATTTTGTTTTTCACTTAATTTTTGTGGCTTATGTTGAACATTTTTTGTTAAATCGTTTGTTTGTTTGTGCGTTGACGATAATCAACAATGTGCTAGGCTTGCCATAACCGATAACAATACCGATAACGATAACGATAACTTTTATTATAATTGTTGTGCTTTCTTTTGTGTTCCCCAACGCTTTCTTTCTCTCTCTCCCTCACACGCTATTTCTCGCTCTGTCTTACTGTCTGTCTGTCAATTTGTGTTCATGTGTGTGTGTGTGCTTGCGTGTGTGTGTGAGTGTGTGTGTGCGTGTGTGTGTGCGTGTGTGTGTGTTTCAATTCAAATGTGACCCACAAAACGCCTGCCAAATGGAGAAATTTGCTTTTTATTTTTGCCCTACTTTGCTTCCGCTTTTACGTTTGTGTATATTCATTTCGATAGATTTATCGATTGCTCACGCGCTCGCACTAATTTGTGGTGTGTAGTCACTTCGGTGTGGTGTTTATTTCATTGTGTTCTATTCCCATTTCGTTCCGTTACTCGTTACAACTCGTTGCATTGCCTGCTCGCCTGTTCACAATAGTTGAAGCAACGAGTGCTAACAATATCGCATGCGAGTTATACGTTGAGTTTCGTAGCAAGCAGCGCGCATACGCATGCAGTTTTTTGCCATTTCATTTGTCTTTCTTTTTTTTTTTTTGAATAGTTTAGCTCAAAAACGATTAGCTAGCTTATAAGGCAGATATATGCATACATTGCACAGGTAAGCATTTCAGTTAGAAGAATCGCCTGTCCTAGCAATTGACTAAATCGATATTTCTTTATTTGCTTTTCGCTTGCTATCGATAAACGTGTTATCGATGTCCCGATATCCCTGCCTGCTCTAGACACTCGCTAAACTCTTTACTCGATATACTTTTTACTCGTACTCGTTTGTTTTTTTTATCGAATGTCACTCGTCGTTTGCCTCTTGTCACACAACTGCACATGAACCTAGCCACATACACAAGCACACACACACACACACACACACACACACACCCACATTTGTACAGTATTTTTTTCTCTCTCTCACTCTCACTATCTGTCTCTCTCTCTCTCTCTCTCTCTGTTTCTTTCGATTTATTGTGCATACTATTCTCTATTCTCTAAGTATATGTCCTTAACTATGTATGTATATATGGTATACCTTTGTCTGCTATACTAGACTCTAAGTTGTATTCCCCCCAGCCACAACCACCCCCCGCCCCCCTCACATAGCCCAAAAATTTAAACAATCCACACGCAATCTAACACGCATACCAAACTGTTAACTCTAACTGTAAACTATGCCCTCTGAAACTTCAAACCACACACACACACACACACACACATACACAACCATATCACATAGATACATACATACATACATACATACATACATATATACATACTAGTACAGTCTCTAGAGTTTGTCAATTCATGTTTGAGGTTCCCAGACAACAACAATAAATACCAAAAATGAAAAACAAAATAATTATGCAAAAAGAAAAAAAACTCTGTAAAATACAATCGTTTTTTTGCTCTACTCAACTTTTGCTTAATAGAAATAAAAGACACACACACACACACACACACACACACACACACATATATATATATATATATATATACAAAGTATGCCAATTCTATCCACTTTGTACAGAAAAAATGATACCCAAATCCCACAAAGCTCCATGTTTCTTATAAACTTGGGCCCGACATCAACAACAACAACAACAACAACAACAACAACAAAAATCAACACTGAACAAAATATTCATGAATTTGAAAATGACATTTTTTCGATACGTATAAATATAACAGAACTGTCTCTATATACGATATATGTATATATTTATATATACACGAACAACAGAAAAATATAAATATATATATACACATGCTATAGCTTAAATACCCACACACACACACTCACACACACAGACACATTTACATATATATATATATACCATTTTATATAAAAGGCAAGAAATCAATAAGAAAGAATCGAGGGGACTTTAGCTCCTCTTCGTGTACTACTTAATCTAACCTATACTCGTTTATATACTCATTATCGATTCGCAACTACATATACTACCTGCATACATATATATATGTATATACATAAATATGTATATATTTGTACTCATTTATATATATATGTATGCTACGTACACATCTCTAACTATATATATGATATATATATAAAACATATATACGTATAAACCTACAGCATACTCGGCATGTATCTGTTTGGCGGTAAGTTTTGTAAATTTTTGGACGAATCCGGACTCGAACGCGAATGCACGTGTCCCGAAATAATCAGCCGACATCCGCAATGTGAATGCGATCGCAAACACTTCAACAACATTTTGTGGGCGACTGTCACAGTTTTTCAAGTAAGAACCAGCAACAAATCAAAAACAAAACACCCATTAAGTACTATACTGAATAATATATATATATACATATATATATATAACTATAACTATAAAAAAAATTATACCTATACCACTCGTATACCCATTTATCTATCCACCTCCCGAGAACAGCAAACGTTTAAAGCAAAAACTAGTTAAAGAAATACTATTTATATTCATATATTTACAATTATATCCAAATCGTGCAGCTCTTCCAAGTTAATCTAGTTTTGTGTTTCGCTTACATTTTAGTTATAGTTTAGTTTATCCTATACATATATATATATATATATATATATATATATATATACAATTATATATATTTTTATGCTCTATATGCTATACAAAACTTTACTCGTTTTTCTAGCGATTCATTTAGTTGTTGCCTCAAACAAGTTTCTTCAGTTCTTGAGTTTAACTTCTTTCGTAACTTTTTGCCTAGTTTCGAATACTTTTTCAATCAGAAAGTAGTTTTAGCTAACTTTACATACACCCACTTAAGCACACAGATATACACAGATGCGCACACACACACACACACAAATGTACTTCAATAAAAAACATTTGGCCTTCCATAAATATTCAACTCTTTTTAGGGCTTATATTACGGTCAGCTTTGTCTTCATGCAAAATTGGTTTACCATTCAAAATTTGCTAATCATTTTGTAGAGTAACTTTATGTGAGAGTACATTATACATTATGAGTACTCATAAATACTCATTATCATTTTATGTCACTTTTTAGCAATATCTTAATGAATGCTAAAAAAACGGAAGCTAATCCAATATTTATGAGCTCTTCCAAAAGAAAACAATCAATTATTGCATATAATAACAATTTCTTTTTTCAAATCTAACTAACTTCTTTAAAAGAGTTCTTGTGTGAAAAGTACTCATAAATAACAACCAAAATAAGTGCGTATTTTTTATTATTTCAGCACCAGAAGAAAATAAAACTATTGAATATTTTAATAAAGCTTTTCAAATTTCTAAAAGTGCATTCTACCAAAGTGCATTAGCAAAAATGCACAACACTAGAAAGAGTACTCGAAAAGTACTCATATAAAATTATTGCGCATTCTTGAGTATTTCAACAGCAGACCCAAACGTATATGATTAGGCACTGCTCGTAACTTGAACAAAAATTAGTTTAAATTAGAAAGAGAAATAAACGATTCCAAATTGCATTATCAAGACTTCCTATGCAGACTACTCGAAATGTACTCACAATTAGGCATAGTCAATCAATGCGTACTACTTGAGTATCTTTATTTTCAAGCCAACTTAGTTCGGCATTTCTCCACTCTGTTTGGTGTATCAACTCAAGCAAACTCTTTTGCCACACACGCACACACACTCAGACACGCACACATTAGAAAGTCGCTCTCGACGAAAGCGTCTCTTTCGTATACTCCAACAAAATACTCTTACTTCTCCCTCTCTTTTGGGTTTCTTTCCATTTCCATTTTCTTTCTCTCTTATTCTCTACATATGTTTCTCTCTCTCAGTCTTACACACACATACACACACACTCTCACACACACACAGTACTCATCTGTAACATATACTACCAATCTTTTCAGCTGCTTAGTTTTTTCGAATGCATGATTTCTCCTCAATTTAAAAACTCGTTTATTTCGTTCCATTTGCCTTTGGCCTTTGCTTTTCACGTTCAGTCCAATAACGAGCTAAAATACAGTTACGTTTGTTCTATATACTCTCACTCACAGCCTTACATATACATATGCATATATTTATATATATATGTATATCTATGCGATACTATATACTTATATAAGTTATATATATAAGATTCATATGTTTGGGCCATATAAACGCCTGGTGTTTACGTTATTTGGAACGCGCTTCGTTCTTTTGTTATGCCTCGTTTTTGGCTTGTTTTCACGTTCCACCAATCCTTCAAGCTGCTGCTGCTTACATCTTCCTCTTCTGGCTCAATGTTACTTTTCTTTATTCCTTTGTTTCTTTTTTTTTCTAGCTACCAATTCCCATTTGCTTTTTGCTGCTTTTTGCGCTTTGTCAAATACAAAAAAAAAAAAAAAACATAATAAACTATATAGTATATAAATTCAAATTGCATATTATTCATGTACAGTCACGCCCAAAAAAAAAAATACATGTATATTAAATAAAATACCAAAAAAAAAAATACTCCTATTATATATGAAAATTTAAGCATCAAATATTTATTGGCACGTCGTGTAAAAAAAAAAAAAAAACATATATTAAAAAAAAAAATATGTTTATCACTTTAGTATTTAAAAAAATTTGAATTTCTATGCAAGTTTTTTTGCGCGCTTTGCAGCTCTTAAATGATTTATGATTTATTTATTAATCCAAGTATTTTCTGGAATTGCAGTTTGTTTCTTGAGTTGAAAATGTTTTCGAGTGCTTTGCGTTGTTTTAACCACACCACGAATTACGAGTATTCCTTGTGCTTAGATTCGTTTTTATACCCGGTTTCCTTGCGGTGCGTGTCTTTGATCTTAAGTTCCTTATTGTTTCGTTAGCCAAATGCTTTAACTGCGCTTTGGCAAGGTCTATGCTTACGTGTTCCACCTAATATGAATGTACTTTTAATATGAAAGAACAGACGAACAATACTAGGCATAGTTTGTACAAATGATATCAGGGCAACGGGTTGTATTTAGATCATGCTTAGAACAGGCTCATATTTCAAATAAGAAGCATAAATGAATATACAAAATTTGTTAATTCTTTTGATTTATTATTTTATTTTCAAACATTTTCTGCTCTTTGAAGAACTCTATAAAGAAATTAGTTTGATTGAAAAAAGGACTTTATTATGAGCTTATCCAAAGATAATTTATGCATCTATTTTTATATGTTTTATTTTATCTCATGTCGTCTGCATTGCTAATACATTTGAAGAGCTCCGAAAACATTAACTCAAAGGGGGACCAGATACTGATTTTCCCCATAGATCTATATTATATTTTGTGTTTCGCCTGAATTCGTATGTTTAAGAAAAAAAAGTACTAAAAAAAACTAAAACTTAACAAGTTAGGCTTAAAAAACGAGAAATACCAAAAGCAGCCTATAGAATAAAAGCTATATACATATCATATATAATATACCTATGTATACCTTAACATATATATTGAATTTTATAATACTTATATAATACTCCAATAATAATAATATCTAACACTTTGGCGTTTTGCTTCTCCAACATGATGTGTTCTATTTTGTGCTCTCTCGTTTTTTCTTACATTTCTTTTTATCCCACACAAATGTTTATGGTATTTTTTATATGTTTTTTTTTTCCGCTTCTTTCGATATATCAATATTATGCATATATATCAAAAATATATCCATATATATATATCCAATATATATACAATATACAAACGTAAACTGCACCACGTTTTGCCGCCCGCAACCACCTGCAACTGCAACCAACCAAATCAACCAAAAAAAAAAAATAATAATCATCAAAACCAACAACAACTGATACAACAACATCTACAACAACCATCGTTAAAACTACAACAACAACAACAACAACAACAACAACAAAACAACAACAAAAATGTTTCTAGATTCTGACGCAAGAGGATTGGAACGTGGTTCTATTCAATGGCATGGAAAAGACAAGTCATTGGGCCGCATTGTACTTTGTGGCTCTAATGACGTTCGGCAATTATGTGCTATTTAATTTATTGGTGGCCATTTTGGTTGAGGGATTCAGTTCAGAGGTAGAGTTTTGCCAACATCCAATAACGAAATTAACCTTAAAATACTGTCAAATAATAACAAAAAACTGCATAGTCTAATTGAAATTTTTGGCCAGTTTGGGCATCGTTTAACTTCAACTCAATCTAACAAAAACAAAATCAGTTGAAACGTTGCCCAGACCAAGCTGATCGATATGCGTTTCGATTGGCCTTAAAAAAGTCAACAAACCATGTTTCAAATGTCGCCAGATTATGAGAGTTGCTTCAAAAATCCAAATACAAATCATTTAATTCGATAAATTATCGATCAGCAATCGAAGGTTGATTTTTGAATGATTAAAGCTATCGATACTTATCGATAACTTATCGATAAGCAATAAAATTCATGATTCGATTCGATGCGATAAATGATCGACATGCGACAATTGAAACATTGTATTCTGGCAGCGATAGCAGGTCGCCTGACTCGAAAAAAAACATCGATAGCGTTGACGAGAAAGTCTAATTTTGAAATTTTGATTCCCTCAGCGAAATGAACGTCGCGAGCGCGAACAGCGCGAATTGGTTAAGAAACTGCGCGAAGAGACATTGGCCGAAAATTATAGCGATGGTATGTACGATGAATCACGCAGCGAAGCGGATTCATCGACCACTAACGATAGTTACTACGAGGTACGCAATCGCTGGCGCAGCGCCGAGGATGTGCGCAAGGTAAGTGCAAGAAAGAGATAGCGAATGCTATACAATGACTGTAAGAGAGAGCCAAGTGAAAGCGAAAGCGAAAGCTCAAGCTCGACTCTGTGGCACGCGTGAATGAGTGTGAATGTGAATGGGAGTGTGAATATGAGTGAGTGCCTGTGCGCCACAGAGTCTGTCACGGTATGTATCGTAGTCTATCGTCTATCGTTATCGCCTATCGTTATCGACTATCGTCTATCGCCACCTCAGCAACTACAAGACTCCGCCGAGCTCAGCATCGAGACCAAGAGCAACATCCACCGCCAGCGCCTGCTGCAGCCCATCCAAGACTACCAAATCAACGAGTTGCCCGCGCAGGGCGCCAGCGCCTCTGTGCTTGGCAACGCAGCTGCCGGCTCCGGGCTGCTCGCAACCGACAAGGAGGCCAGCGGCAAGTCGCACGAGGAGGCCAAGCCGCGCGGCGGCCTCAAAAAGGTAAGTACAGTCGCACCTCAAGCACAAGTACAACAACAGCAACAAACGCAACAAACACAAACACACAACTGCCTCGGCTCGCACCTACAGACATACTCGATCAAGGAACGACGCAGCGAGGCGCCACGCCTAAACAAAATGCGGCTCATACGCGATCCACCGCTCATCACAACAACGGCGGCCACGCCCCAGGACTCACCGAGCACCACCATGGAGCCGGGCATGAGCTTCCGCCAATGGGGCGAAATGGAGGTGAGTTTCAAGTAACCAAACCTCAATTTTCACAAAGCTAAATCATGTGGATCGTGCAAATTGATCGGATTTAGCTAGACAGTCAAGATTTTCAGCTACGCCAAGTTTGTCGAAAATTGAGAGTTTTTTGTGTTTCGCATGGAAATGCAGAATGTATGAACAGAAGCGTCAGCTTCGCTGTAGTTAGTGTATATCCCAGTTGGGCACACCCGACTAGAGCACTTCTCTTACACTTTGACAACCTATTGAAATGTTCATTTCTTGTGCCACGCCCACACAGCCAGTGCCGCCATCGCCGTCGCTGCTGAAGCCGCCAAATATATTCAGCGGAGGTCAGCGCACGCTGGACGAGGGAATACCGGCCATAGATCTCATACCGCCGTCGCCTGTGCTGGCGCACAAGCCGCTCAACATACTCAATGCCAGCCAGCTGCAGGGACATGTCAGTCCTGTTGGCGGTGCAGGTGGTGCAAGTGGTGGTTCTGTCGGTGGCGCAGCAACTGTTGGTGGTAGTGGCGGGGCCAGCGCCAGCATATCCAGCGGAAGCAGCAATCAGCTGAGCAGCCTGCTGCCCAGCAGCATGCACAGCGTCATCATCGATGACATCTCTAAGAATTCCAGCACAACGGCAGCTGCCACGCCCATCTATGTGCCCAGCATATCATCCACGGCGGCCACACTGCAGCCGCCGACGGAGAGTCACAGCCACAGCTTGAATCTGTCGGATCTGTCGCCGCTGACCGTGTCGCTGACGGGCTCGACAAGCTTGCCCATGGGCGGAGCGGGCAGTGCTGCCTCCACGAGCGGCAGCTCATCCAGCGAACGTCTGCCGCTGGCGCCGATAAGCGGCAGCTTCCAGCAGCGCTTCCGACGCTCCAGCTCCAAGAAGCGTCCGACTACACTGCGACCCGACGACAACATCAGCGCGCCCGACGACGAGCAGCAGCAGCTGAACAGCTCGGGTGCCGTTGAGTCCAGGCAGAGGGACACGAACCGGCTGAGTCCACAGAACTCGATGCGCAGGCTCTCGAATACGCTCAGCATCGGCAGCGGCCCGGGCAGCCGGCGCGCCTCCGCCTGCATCTTCAACTCGCAGGTCTATCAGAATCTGAGCCAGCCGCCCAAGCTAAGGCCCGGCGCCGGGCAGCGCCGCATGAGCTCCATCGAGCTGGCGTTCAGCAAGACATCGCATCTGAATCTGCACAATCTGGAGGCGAATCGCAAGTCACTGTCGTACACAAACTCCAAGATTGATCTGGACAAATGGCAAAGATCCTATTTGACGCTCAACGAGCCGGACATGCTACAACAGTACATGGAGGCGCGCGACAAGCGCAAGAACTCCATCAGCCACTACAATCTGAAGAAACGCCTCGAGGAGAAGGAGCTGCAACAGCTACAGCAGCTGCATCAGCAGCAAATGCAACAGCAGCAGCAGCAGCAACAGCTCGACACGCAGTCCCATACGCAGCTATCGCCGCAGCAGCTGGCCAAGGAGCTGCAACTGCTGTCGATGCAACAACAACATTCCATGGTGCCCTGCGGTAGGGGGGAGCACGTCTCAAAGCTGCGGATGATCATACAGCGTCTGACGCCCAAGCAGTTTACCGCCGAGCGTGAGTCCTACTCCATGTATGTCTTTCCGGAGGATAACAGGTATGTCGCCTCGATATGCTTCAATTACTCGTCGAAGAGCTTTAAGTGAGCTTTAATAGCGCCAGAAGCAAGCTTTAAGTAAGCTTCTAGCTAGTTTCGCATGCATTTAAGCCAAGATCTAAGTGTGATTTAGGCAAGTGAACTTTAATTTACTATTGAGTTAGCCTTCATTGAGCTTTGATTCACAATTGAATGAGCTTTTAAAAGCTTTAAGAGCGTTTGAGACAATTCTTGAGTGTCACAAGCCTAAAGTAAGCTTTAAGTTACAATTAAGTGAGCTTTAAGTGCGACTGAGACAAGCCTAAAGTGAGCTTTAATCTACAATTTAGTCAGATATCTGTAAGCTTTAGGCAAACCTTAAGTGAGCTTTAAGCCACAAATTAGCGAGATCTCAGTTAACCTTAAATGCGTCTTAAACAAGAATTAAGTAATCGTATGGACAAAATCAAATGAGATTGAATGAGCTTAAAGTAACTATTGAGTGGGCTTTATGGAAGCTTTAAATGCTTTGATTAAAGCCTTTTGAGTGAAATTTTAATACGCTTTAAGTGAGTAGCTAAAGCGCACATGCATTATGCAATCGAGCAAAACATTTCCTTAGAGTTTTTGCTAATAGCTTTTACGCCCTTATGTTATGACAATGTAGCTTTAAGAGGGCAATGTTGGCAATAAAGCGCGCTTTTAATTCCTTTGTAACTTTACGACATTTTTCCATTGTCCTCTGCTGTGCTCACTTTCTGCTCTGCTTATCTTTCAACATTTATATTGATGCTAACTTTAGGAGCTTTAATATATTGTGTTTCATTTTTTTTAAATCTTACACCAGTCTTGCCCAGCAAAGGCAGTGAATAGCATAAGTAGAGCTTTAAGGGAGCTTTAATTGAGAGTTTAAATAAATAAAGCTCGCCAAAGCTCCTTTAAGCAAAGCCACCTTGGCAGTTGTCTAGCGTAGTTTGTATGTCTTAAGGCTTGGGTAAACAAGATCTTGGCTAAACGAAGCCCTGAAAACACATTTCCTTTTCAATGCAACCAGCTACCGAATTTTTCCTTATCTGATTTGCCAATTTTGCAATTGACTTTTGTGATAGATTTCCAACAAAATTCACTGCACTCAACTCTGTCGCAGCCAGTTTTGCAGTTCGTTTTCGTTTTCGTTGTCGTTTTCGCATTTGATTTTCATTTTGATTTTCGCAACGGAAATGCCGTAATTGAATTTCAACCCAATTTACTGTCAACTGCTTTGTGTTGTTGGTGAACAGGTTCCGGCAGATCTGCTCGTGGTTCGTGAACCAAAAGTGGTTCGACAATGTCGTGCTGCTCTTCATAGCCCTCAACTGCATAACACTCGCCATGGAAAGACCAAACATCCCTCCAAGCAGCACCGAGAGAGTGTTCCTGGCAACGGCCAACTACGTGTTCACCGTCGTCTTCACTATCGAAATGTTCATTAAGGCAAGTATCGCATTTGCAAACTAAAATAAACTGCAACTTTTTCGCTGAGTGTATTTTGAACAAGTTTGATTGTTTTGTTTTATTTACAGGTAGTTGCCACGGGCATGTTTTATGGCCCGGATGCATATTTCACATCCGGCTGGAATATAATGGATGGATCTTTGGTTACAATTTCGATAATTGATTTGTTAATGTCATTGATTAGCGAATCGAGCCCGAGGATATTTGGGATTTTAAGGGTAAGTTTGTGGGCTGAACGGCAATAGGCACACAAAACCGCAGCATCAGCCGGCCTCGGCAGGCAATCAGGCAGGCAGGCAGGCATGCAGTCAATCGGTCGGACATGCCGCATGCCGCATGCCACATGCAGCATGCAACTGAATACAGCGACCCAACATGTGTGAGCCACTAATTCGACAACTCGAACCACGCACTAATCAAACAAATCAAATCAGCTGCTGTTGTGCACGCGGATCCATTTACAAGCCGAAAACAAAAAAGAAAGAATAAAATCTCCCGCTATTGCTCGCTCGCTCGCTCGCTCGCCCGCTTGCTCTCTCTTGCCTCTCTCTCTCTCTCTCTGTCTCTCTCTCTCTTTCTTTTTCTCTCTTTCTTTCATTAGCTATCTACAGCTCTGTCAATTGGCCGTCTTTTCACATTGCTATCTGAGAATTAAAAACGTCTTTTGCCTTCTCTCATCCATCTCTTTCATATAACTTTCTGAAATTCTCTCCCTCCCTCTCTCTCTCTCTCTCTATATATATATATAAATATATATACATTTGTATATTTTTATGGCTATATTGTGTTTGAATCGGGTATTCGAATCTTAACTTAACATAAACCAAACCGATCTGCAGGTAAATTCTCGCCGCTTTATCATTTAATGGCAAAAACAAAAACAAAAAAAAACAAAAATTATTCGTACGTTATTTTTCTCTGTGTGTGTGTAGAGTCCCTTTAAAATGTTGATACCCTACCGAATGTAAATTGTTGGCTCACGCTCATATATATTATATATCTGGTTGTATATTATACTCAGTAATATTTGCATTCTCTTTGCCCTTGTCATGCCTCACCCAGCACATGTTCCAATTATAAACACACCACAACATAACCTCACTTTATGTAAAACGCGGCTATCGGATCTGTAAAGTCAAATTCTATATAGACTATGTTTCTATTGGGCTGAGACTCCTTTTTCCCATTCCTGGCGTGTTTCAATTTCAATTGGTTCCGATATATAAATTGCCGGAAATACCTTTTTCAACTTAACCTCACTTAGATAAAGTACAGCTTTTATATAACGAAGCTTACCTTACCTACCCTTTATGGTCTTAAAGATTCCTATATATACATAAACTTGCCTCAAGCTGATAACTTTTTTGTCGACCTCACAGATCCGATCTAGCACCAAACCCAATCTGAAGTTCTTACATGTATTATCATTGTTTAAGGCAACCCCCATTCTGCCTCGTGTTAACCGCTTATTGCCAGCCTTTTGCATTGGAGTTATTCACATAATCCCAGCCCGATTCCAATCGTTCCATCATTGTCTAAGCCCAATTTCAGGCATTTCGCTTAACCTTATTCCTAGCCCCATTCCATTCGTTCCTTTAGATTACTTAATTTGAGTCTTCTGCCATATAATTTTCTCACCAAATTCCATTTGTTCCCACTCATTATTTCTACATTGTTTTCACTTGCTTAACTGCAAATTTGCACCGCATTCAGCATGCACCATTCGTGTCATTCATTTGCCCTCCCTTGCCTACAGTGTTCCATTCCACAACGTTTCATTTGACTTTGTCTAAGCACATAACCTTCTTTTCGTAATGCCAACCATTTATTGTCCACACATTCACATCGTTCTCCATTTGCATACCCGTTCCAATTCCGAAACGTTTCATTTGCATATAACTTCATACATAAGCCCAAGTTCTTGTAGCTGTATTGTAAGCCCGCTGAGCATTTTCGCATCAATTTGTTCCATTACCATGCGTTCCACATTTTGGCTTTGCTTCTTCCGTTTTATGTTTCAATGCCAGTCGTTTCTGGCATATGTATCAGTTGCTGTTTCCGTTTTCAGTTGTTGTGTTCATTTTTTTCCAGTGGGTCAATGATGTTTTATCGGATTTAGATATACGTGACAGGGTTGAAGATGGGATTAGACTGATCGCATGTTCCCAATTATTGTTCGCAGGTGTTTCGTCTACTTCGTTCCCTACGGCCGCTGCGTGTGATCAACCGAGCGCCGGGTCTGAAACTAGTCGTTCAAACGCTCTTATCGTCCCTGCGTCCCATTGGGAACATCGTGCTGATCTGTTGCACCTTCTTCATCATCTTTGGCATTCTCGGCGTCCAGCTGTTCAAGGGCACCTTCTTTTACTGCGAGGGCGAGAACATCAAGAACGTCCGGAATGCGGACGAATGCCGTCGCATACCCGGCAACGTCTGGACGAATCGCAAATACAATTTCGATGATCTTGGCAAGGCCCTGATGTCGCTCTTTGTGCTCAGCTCCCGCGACGGCTGGGTGAACATCATGTATACGGGCCTGGATGCGGTTGGCGTTGACCAACAGCCGATTGTCAACTACAACGAATGGCGTCTACTCTACTTTATAGCATTCATTTTGCTGGTCGGCTTCTTTGTGCTCAACATGTTTGTGGGCGTTGTCGTTGAGAATTTCCATCGCTGTCGCGAGGAACAGGAGAAGGAGGAGAAAATCCGACGCGCCGCCAAGCGTGCCCTGCAAATGGAAAAGAAACGCAGGCGAATGCACGAGCCACCCTACTATACGAACTACTCACCGACCCGGATGTTCGTGCACAATGTGGTCACCTCGAAGTACTTTGATCTGGCGATCGCCGCCGTCATCGGCCTGAATGTGGTCACCATGGCCATGGAATACTACAAGATGCCGATGGCCCTGCAATATGCGCTAAAGATTTTCAACTATTTCTTTACGGCCGTCTTTATACTGGAGGCGAACATGAAGCTGGTTGCGCTCGGCTGGCGTTTATATCTGAAGGATCGCTGGAATCAGCTGGACGTCGGCATCGTGCTGCTCTCCATTGTGGGCATTGTGCTCGAGGAGCTGGAAACGAACATAATACCCATAAATCCAACCATAATCCGTGTGATGCGCGTTTTGCGCATTGCACGCGTCTTAAAGCTATTAAAAATGGCAAAGGGCATACGGGCGCTATTGGATACCGTAATGCAGGCCCTGCCGCAGGTGGGCAATCTGGGTCTGCTCTTCTTTTTGCTATTCTTCATATTCGCGGCGCTGGGCGTGGAGCTGTTCGGGCGACTCGAGTGCTCCGATGAGATACCCTGCCAGGGACTCGGCGAGCATGCGCACTTCGCCAACTTCGGCATGGCTTTCCTCACATTGTTTCGCGTAGCGACTGGCGACAACTGGAACGGCATCATGAAGGACACGCTGAGGGATAACTGCGATGACGCGGCCGATTGCGTGCGCAATTGCTGCGTCAGCTCGTTTATTGCTCCCATATTCTTTGTGATATTCGTTCTTATGGCGCAATTCGTTTTAGTGAACGTCGTCGTGGCTGTTTTGATGAAACACCTCGAGGAGAGCCACAAGCAAATGGAAGATGAGCTCGATATGGAGGTGGAACTGGAGCGTGAGCTGGTCCGCGAACAGGAGTTCGCCCAGGAGCAGAAACTCTGCCAGCAGCTGGCGGAGGCGCAGGCCAAGCTAATCGCACCGCCACGCCCATTGGCCAAAGTCAAATCGCTGCCCAAGAATTTCATCTATAGCACACCATCGCTGGAGAAGAAGTTCCCCAGCCCCAGTCTAACCGGCAGCTCGGCCACCAATCTCAATCAGAGCCAATCCGGCGCCGGTGCACGTCGTCAGACCGTGCAATATTTCAATCAACAGCAGCAGCAACAGCAGCAGCAGGCACTCGGCCTCAGTCTGGCCGAAATGGGCGGCGCGCTGACGCCTCAGGCGCTGGGCGCACGGCTGGGCGAGCCCTTTGGCGGCGCTGTGACGGCAGCGGCAATAACCGGCAACGAGCACGGCTTGCAACTGCCGCCACTGGGCCGCCGCGGGCGACGCGCCTCGGCCGCCGCCGGCTTCCGCAAGCGCGGCGTGCTGTCCAAGGAGCGCTCACTCGACGAGCAGGCCATCAGGCGACGCAACCTGGAGGCGAAGCGCACCAGCTGCGATTCGCTGCCCTGGGGCGGCGATGCGCTCGACTATCGTCGCGGCACCATATTCGAGAGCCTCGAGTCGGATGGCGGCGGCAACAGTCCCTCCTCCAGCTATGATCTGGATGTGCGCAGCATACGCAGCGCTGAGCTGTCGCGTCCACGTGACGACGATTTGCCGCTGGCCATTCTTAGTGCGCCCACACCCACGCCCACAGCCACACCCCTGGCTATTGTGATGCCCACAACAACACCCACAGCCACGCCCACGCCCACAGCCACAGGCACACCCACCGTCACACATCAGCAGCGACGCCCCTTCGGCTGGTCGCAGTCCGTGGATCAGAGCTGCCTGCTGGGCGCCGGCGGACGCAGCAGCCTGCTGCTCTCGGTGCCGCGCTCCATGCCGCCGCGCAGCCGCAGCGGCAGCACCAAGCAGCTCTTCAAGCAGCAGGCGCTCGACGAGGACGCCGACTTGGATGAGAACTCGCTGCTGCTGCCGGCAATGCCGCAGCCAGCCACAGCTGCAGCAGCTGCAACAGCTCAGCTGCCCAGCTCCGACAGCTGCCCAACAGCAGGCGGCAAAGGCAACGCCGACAGCGACGCCCACGGTGACGCCGACGTCAGCATCGTCGACTGCCCGGCGATCAGTAAATCGGATTCGGCGGACATCATGCGCATCATCAGCGAGCGGCGGCGCATGGATCAGCGGGATCAGTGCGGCAACGAGGACAGCGACTACAACGAGCTGCTGCTCGTCAAATCCCCCCAGTCCTCGACGGACTAAGCCTCTCTCTTTCTAACCCACACACACACACACTCTCTCTCTCCCTCTCACACATACACACCTTGCTATCAGGCTGGTTTCGTTCATTTCCATTCGTTTCACTTGCTGGATTCTAACGAGTTCCGTATGCTGAAAATAAAATTACTAAGCCAAGGCGCATTTAATCGATATCGATAAACGATAACAATCGAAAGCGAAACGAGCCTGTTAGTCTACGTAAATAAATATATGTATAGATATATACATAGATGTATCTACACCTCCTTGCAGCAGGCTAGTTTCGTTCGTTTCCATTCGTTTCACTTGCTCAACTGTAACGAGTGTTTCAACGTTCCAAAGTTCCGCTGAAAACAAAAATGCCAAGCTAAGGCGCATTTAATCGATATCGATAAACGATAACAAACAAAAGCGATACGAGCCTGTTAAAAATATATATATATATACATCTTGAAATATCTCCCTCGCACACAAACACTCGTAACTGTAGCCTGCGCATAACTTTTGGGAATTTTCCCAAGTGCTCAGTTTAAAGGAAGCAAAACTAAAGCGTTAGCTCATAGGCAATAATGTTAACGATAACGATAACGATTACGATAACGATAACATTACTCACTAGCGTTAGGCGTTAACTGTAACTGTAACTGTAACTTTAACTGTAACTGTAACTGTAACTATAACTGTAACTGTAACTATAACGATAACTGTAACGTTAACCGTAACGATAACGATACCGATAACGATAACGATAACTACTCATAGAGCGTTCTCAATATGAAATTGTCAACTGTTTTTAGTGCAATCTACGGTTTTCATAAGTTTAGCAAACAACAACAACAAAATCCAAATGGTATCAACAGACAAATTATTGGAAAAAAAATACTAGAAATATACTAAAAGTCGTTGCTTAGAGCGTTTTCCGTTTCAACCAAAGCAGTAAAACCGAAATACTAAAAAATCCATGCTGATGAATGATGATTATATACACATATATATATATATAAATATATGTATATATATATATATACAAGCGTTATATACACAGTTATACACAAACTATTTAGAGTATATAGAGGCGTATATATATGTATATGGAAATTGTGAACAAAATATATAAAGAAAAAATCATCAACTCTGTGATTAGCTCTTAAAGTTTAAAACATTTATGAACATATATGAATATATAAACAGATATATGAAAGGAAGAGAAAACCCTACAATATGCATACACTATATGTATGTATGAACACTAGAGTATGTATATGTTGTATGGTATTAAATGTAGTCTAGTCCAAAAAAAAAAAAAACAAAAAAAAACCCAAAGCTGACAAATATTGTTGCAGTATTCAGTCTAACAAATACATACACAATGATAAGCAATAGCTATTTTAGCTCGTTAAGATGGTAAATTAAATCGAACTTAAAATAAAATACCTAAAAATACCAGATAAAATACTACAAATACCAAATGTTACATACACGCAGAAAATACTAAAAAAATACCAAAAATGCATTGTTTATAAAAACGAATTTACATAGGTACTTAACACACTCACACACTCACACACACACACGGACGCGATGCTCTTTCGGACAATCTTTCGACTCTCAGCGCGCTCTCTTTCTGGCCTTAACCAAGCGCCCTCTCTCTCTCTCTCACACACACACACAACTATCGCTGTCTCGCTCATTTCAACTAAATTGTGCCAAATGAAACTAACACACACATAAAGTAAGGGGAATTAGCGTATTGTTAAATTTTTGTGTAGTAAAACTAAACCCAAAAAAAACTTACTTAATCGAAGGCCCCACTAAAAATACTAAAGGCAGAGCAGCAGCAGATGCGACTATCCAAAAGTTTATTTTTTATATACCAAAACGGGCTAACGGGCTAAATACCGCATACTAAATACAGTGTTGTTTTTTTTTTTTCTAGTATTAACTGTAGCTATAAATGTAGTCAAAGTTTTAATGATAATGTCAGGTGGGCGAAAGGTATAAATTAGCCCGTAAATAGTTACGAAGTTCAAAGTTCGAGCTCACACACGAAAAACTTTATGGCGTAGCATTTATAACAAGTAGTAGGAAAATAATAAGTATATAAACTATATACTGTAGCAACAACTCCCTACAAATAGAGTATAGAGCATAGAGTATAGAGTATATATATAAATATATATATATTTATGTGTGTGTATATATTGTATTTGTGAAAAACTATCAACGAATTACCATAAAGTTAAGCTCAAAGTTAGCTACGCTCTTTACAAAAACAGCAACAACCAAAGAAGAGGAAGAAAACTAAATCGATGTCGTAAAAGTTGAAGAAGAAGCAGAACACACACTGAACAAAACACTGTCAATTTTCCAAGAAAACAGAAAAAAAAAAACGCGAAAACACAAACAATTGAAAAGGAAAACGCATTTTTACACTCTTTGTAGAGACATTGGGGGGAAAGTTATCGATAGATCGATAAAACCCAAATTTAGATAAACTTTTGAACACAATAAAAAAGAAGAAGAAAACTGCAACAAATCGAACTTAGAAACTCTTAGCCTCTATCGGGCGTTACGAAACAACAACAACAACAAGAAAAGAACAACAACAAAAACAAGCTACAAATTTAATTATGTAATAATTTCATCTGTGCCTTTCTCTACGAATATATATATATGTATATATATATATATATTTAACTCTATATATATGTACACTATATAAAAACAAATTATGATATATCTACTGAATACTATATATACTAATATATTTCACATGTGCTCTTCTTTACACTCTCGCGCTCGCTCTCTCACACTATAACACTCTCTCAATCTCTCACTCTCTCGCTCTCTTTGGTGAAGCTGCAAGAGTTTCGATATCGATATTAAGTTGCGGCAATAAGAGTTGCTTCTTGACGAATCAATATCGATAGATTTGCAGACTAATCGATAACACGACACACAACACGCGACACACAAACACTCACACACAATTTACGTAACGTAACGTTTGCAGTAGGCTAAAAAGGGACAGATACAGTGCACCGCTCAAGCAGTGCAAGCAGTACAAGTTCAACTAACGGCACGCTCTGTCGCCAGGTCGCGCACACTCGCTCTTCCACTCTCGCTATCTCTATCTTTCTCTCTCTCTCTCTCTCTCTCTCTCTCAATAGCAAAGTATACACTTCTTCATGTTGCTGGCAAATTTAACCAGCACTCTGACATGTCTGTCAAACTAGTTTAGCATTAACTTTAGCAGCCTGTGAATTTGATTCATCTAGCAAGCAGTTCAGCTAGCTACTCAGTGTATTTAGCAAGCAGTTCGAATTGCAAAGAAGTTAGCCTGCGCTTAATAGTTAGATATTAATTTAGATTATTTATTGATCAGCGCGGACAACTTGTTGCTGCGGCTTGGCCTAAGCTGCATTCATTTAGAAACACTTTAATGCAAATTTCAATTGCAAATACCTGCAGCGAAATCTAACTCGCTGTCAGAGCTAACATGAACTTTGCCAAGAACATGAGAAACAACAAAAAACTAAACAGCTAATGCAACTAACATACTATTTATGAATATAAGCAATAATACATGAGTTAATATATTTAAACACACACACATACACAAACGCGCGCACACACAATATTAAGAGCTAAGCCTACTTAAAAAAACTGTTTTTAGGTTAATGTGCTGTAGTTTCGATTGTTTTTTTTTTTGTAATTTTTTTAGGTAGCAGCTTGAGCTAAAAATAATAGACATAAAAAGAGACACGCAAAATCGTAACACTTTTTTGAGAGCATGTAAACCCCATAAAAACTAACAAACACATAAAAACTATAAATTTTTTTTGTCTTGTTGATTAATAATTAGGTAAAAAAGCCACAAAAATTAGACAAAACGAAAAGAAAAAAAAAACTAAATAGAAATAAATTAAAATAAACGAAGAGCTAAATAAATTAAAATAAGCTGAAGAATGCAAGAGAACTCTATACAAATTGGAACTAAGACACAAAACTATATGAATTTGCTTTTAGCCAATGCAAGACAGAGTAATTATGTAAATGTTACAAAAAAGAGAGTAGAAGAAGAAGAAGTTAAACAACAATCAGTACGTAGCAGCAGGCAAAACAGAAATGAAAAGCGAAGCCAAACAAAAAAATTGAGCACATTTTTCCAGCCTGTCCCTAACAAAGTTAATTACTAACTAAACAAATATACACAAAAACTTGCAGTTTAAAGTAAACCAAAAATTATATCTATATAATATAAAAATAAAACAGTTGTAAACATTTTGTTGCATAACTTTTGCGTTCAGCTGAGGCAACAGCAAGAAAAAGCAAAGTAAATAATAATAATAATTACATAGTTGTAAATTGGTTGAAACTACCGCAAAAAAATCGCTCTACATATGCATATATGCATGTGCACACACATACATACAGCACACACACACACACACACACACACGTATTTCAATGTGTATATAAGCAGAACAAAGAGCATTATGAATTAAACAGAAATTTTGAAAAGAATATTCAATTTTGTTTCAATCTTGACCTGGCGCCATCTATGGTCAGCCGAAAGCAGCTGTGTGCTTTGCACTGCTTGTGAAATGCTTGCAAGCAGTAAACTGTGTACGTTCGCGTGTTCTTTTTTGAATTTTTGACTGTTTTGGCGGCTTTCATCGAACCGTTAGCTACCCTGCAAGCATTGATTGAATTATGAGGTATATGCACACTTATATAAGAGAGAGCAAGAGACAATAGCAACATTTTATGTATGTACTTTTTTTTATCTATTTGAAAAATGTGAAGAATTTGTTAATGAAAATTTGTAGTACAGGGTATCTGAACGTCAAGCACACACTCGTCTATAATGCATTCTTGTTTTGTATGTATTTCAGCTTCTTCTTCATTATGAATGGGTAAGTGACATTGCATTTTTGTGACTGTACATTTTCTCTTCATTACATAAGTGTGTACCAAAACCATCTCTCATCAGCCCCTTACCGTAACGCCCCCCTCCTCAGCCACTCCCCCCTTCTACTGACTAACCATTGTGAACTTCGCACTGCTATTAAAACGACATCCCGCAAAAGTCAAGTGAAAATATTTTGGCGCCGCTTTTGTAACAGCCTAGCCCCCTACTCTTTCCCTTTTCCAACACTGACACTGACACTGACAGCCCCCCCCCCCCCCCCCCCCCCCTCCCCCCTTAAAGTCCCCAATCCACCTTCCCTCCAATTATCTGAGCAGATTTGAGGCAATATGCCGCCTCTGTGCGTTTGCGTTTTTAATTAACAGCGGTTTCTTCTATTGCTTCATGAAAGATTGCAAATGAAGTAATTATAAAAAAATGAAAATGAAAACAACAAGCGACAAAATAAAACAA